GTTTCCAAATTACTTCGCGGTCAACGCTGTCTGTCGAAGGCCTTCTCAAAGTCTATAAAGTTGAGGTAGAGGTTTGATTGCCATTCCATGCTTTGTTCGATGATGATGCGTAGAGTTGCAATTTGGTCAGAACATGATTTGCCTTTCCTGAATCCAGCTTGTTCTGGTCGGAGTTCTGTATCCAGTGCGTCCTTTATTCTCTCCAGGATGATGCGACTCAGGATTTTACTTGGCGTCGACAGGAGCATGATTCCTCGCCAGTTCTTGCAGAGTCCTAGGTCGCCCTTCTTTGGTAGTTTCACGAGGTAACCTTTCCTCCAGTCAGTAGGCACCTTTCCCTCCTTCCAGATCTTTTGCAATAATGGAGTCAGCATATCTGCTGTCGTCTCTGGGTCCGCTTTCAGTGCTTCAGGGGGTATTCCATCTGGTCCAGCTGCTTTTCCAGCTTTCAGAAGCTTGATTGCATTCAAGACTTCAGCTTTCGTTGGAGGATTGGTGTCAACTTGCAGTTGTGTACGTGCTGTTGTTGGTATTTCTGGACGGGTTGTAGGTGGTGGTCGGTTCAAGAGTCCTTTGAAGTGGTCCGCCCATTGTTTAATCTGTCTTTCTTCCTTGGTAATTGGGTTCCCTTGGCTGTCTTTTATAGGTTTCACTTGTGTTGATCTCTTCCCGGATAGAGACTTGGTTATCTGATATAGTGTCCTTAGGTCCCTTTTGCCTGCTGCCTTCTCAGCTTCAGTGGCCAGGTTGTCGTAGAATTGTCTTTTGTCCTTCCTGGCACTCTTCTTCACTTCTTTGTCCAGTGCCGTGTAAGTTGAACTCAGCGTCTCCTTCTCTGGTCCGTCATTGCATTGAATCATTTTCTCTTTCACCATTCTCCTCTCCTCTATTAGCTTCCAAGTGTCCGTTGAGAGCCATTCCTTGTCTTGTCTCTTCTTTCTTCCTAAAACCGTTGAACACATTTCGTTGAAAATCACCTTCAGAGAGTTCCAATGGTCTTCCACGGATGATTCTTCCGTGATGTCACGTAGTGTTTCCTGCTTTGCTCTGACAGTTGCAGTGAAAGTGTCCTTTGTGGTTGTGTCCTTCAGTTTTTGTGTGTTGAACTTGCATTGTGGCCTATCCCCAGGTATCCTCGAGGCTTTCAGCTTCACCTTGAAAGTCCCTTGTACTAGATAGTGGTCTGAACCCACATCTGCTCCTCTCCTCGATCTTGTGTCCAGTAGGCTCCGTCTCCACTTCCTTGAGATTGAAATGAAGTCTATCTGGTTTTTGGTGTGTCCATCTGGTGAAATCCATGTTGCCTTGTGTATATCCCTGTGTTTGAACACACTGCCATCAATCACCAAATCATTGAAGGCACAGAAGTCTGAGAAGAGTTCACCATTTTCGTTCATTTCACCGAGGGCCTCACGACCCATGGTGAGTTCTCTTCCTGTATTGTCTCCTCCCAGCTTCGCATTCATATCACCCATCAGGATTTTGATATCGCCCTTTGGGACGTTGTCCATTACTGTTTGTAGTTGTCTGTAGAAGGCCTCCTTCTTCTCTTGTTCTGAGACGTTTGTAGGCGCATAGCATTGAATGATTGTAACCTTCCTTCCTTTTGAGTTGAACCTGGCTGTCATTATCCTGGAGGAGATTGGTTCCCACTGCATGAGAGCTATGGCTGCTGTTGGTGACATCATGATGGCTTCTCCCTCGGTGTGCTCATGATTGTCCTCTGGGTGACCGGAGTAGATTATTGTCTCTCCAGTTTATAGTTGGCTCCTTTCACATCTGTTCCATCTGCTCTCGCAGATTCCCAACACTTCTATTTTATATCTTCTCATTTCTGCAGCTACCTGGGCAGCCTTTCCAGCTTCGTACATTGTACGAACATTCCACGTCCCCAACCTTATTTTTGCTTTCATCGAAAGAATGCACATCGGCTGACTGGCTTCTCGAAGGCTTTTACCAGCCTGCGTCATTTCTATTCTCCGATTCCAGCGAAAAATAAGGTTATTGTTTATATTTTTAGAATTTTTAATATATTTGTGCGTTAAAGTTTCTGTAGCAATTTGGTTAAGTTGCTATCACCACGCCCCAATCCTCCCTCTTTATTCGGGCTTGGAATCGGCTAGAAATCTAGTGAGCTAGTAATCTAGGCGAGTTTGAAGGATTTCTAGTGGGACATAATATTAGAGCTAAGTGTTTTGATAATTCATAAATAAAGGTAATTCTGAAATCTGCTACTGGTCGTATTGGGTAACCTGGTTTATGTATTATTATAGTACCACAAATCCTACTAGCATTGTGGTGGTGTGAAACAGGCAATGTGTGCCAACAGAGTAGTATTCTCACACATTGCCACAGTTCAATTCGGCATTAGCAACAGAATACGATATATCTATTTGAACATTCTTTTTCATGTTAGAGACAGAATACTTTTCCACGATTATATACTGCATTAACAACAGAATACTATGCATATTTGAACATTCTGTTTCATGTCATTTGATGTAAACCTAAATGACACACTCATTGATTGGTTAAAGAATATAAACTGTGCATATATAAACAGCGGTTCAATCAGTGGAAAATATACTTTGGCTTCCGTGTCTTACCTTCTGCTTTTACAGTAGTATTAGTTTAAGGCATTGAATTAAACCAGTGATGGCTTCATTCTGCGTATAAAAACCGGAGTAGATTTCTTAGTCTTATTCATTATTGTATCTACAGACTCCTTATTTTTTCACATGGACCCATTACAATGTGTTCAGTGACTCTTTGATATAGCCAGACCTATCCATCACTACTGCCAAGTTTCCTTCACTAGCCTTTGTGACAACCCTGGAGCAATCTGATTTACTTCGATTTGGGCGAAGATTGGGAGACTGTATCTTCAGGAGTTATTCGCATGCGTCTGTAACACCAGATATGCAGGAAAATTACCCACAAATATACGCTGACATGTCGCTGTCACTTTTACCAATTATTTACTTCTTTAACTAGCATCTTCCTCCTTTTTGAGTTGCAGGGGTCCTCAGAGGGAGGTGTGCAAACATTTGTTCAGTAGTCAGAGCCGGTAAAAATTCTACCTCACTGACGCGGTGATTCCATTGCAGTCCCCACTTAGTTCTCGTCTCCGTGTGGCAAGGTCAACTTCTAGGCTAGCATGAGTCCACCAGTCATTATTCTAGGTGGAACCCAAGGACAATCCAATGGAGTTCATAGAGTGCTCAACCTTAGTGACAAATATTAGCATGGCATCAGCGTAGTGAAACTGAGATCGGTGAAACATAGCACCGTTATGGTGTAAAGCACTAGTACCAATGGCTAGAAGTAAGTATCGCTTAATTCATCACTCATACTTTCTCCGGGGCATGACTTTTCACTGCGAGTATGAACTGTAAGCATAATCAACCCTAAAGCGAATGCATTTAAGAAAGTCTCAGAAAATCGTGTGTATGCTGGCGATACAGGATCGAGAAAGCTCTGCTGACTGGTTTTGGATGAACATGCTCTTGGCGAAAATAGTAGTCTGAAGGTAATGACTATTGGGTAGCTACAGAGAGTGCTCAAGTTGGGAAGCAACCGATAACAGTCTAGTATAACAATTTCAGTAGGAAAAGTTAGCGGTAAACTTAGTCGACGAGCGGCATCATTAAATTTTTCCACAAAGCGCTCTATGAACCACCTTAACCTCTTCCCTGTGGATATACTGCATGTATTCGGCATATTCCGGTTGGAGAGATTCAAAGTAAAGAATCGTCAACGTACGTCATAGCCCAAAGCGCACTTGGTGGGAAATCTAGACATAGCCTCAAAAAACAGACCAGTTAAACCGATATTCTTAGGAAAGTCGTTTCTGGGGGAGGCTGATCTAGGGCCTCTACAACATGGTATGCTAGGGTAACCCAGACGTTTTTTGGGGAGTATTTCACGAATAATGGAACTAACTGCCTCGAGACCGTCAATATATTGAGCAGCTGGATCTACGTCTTCTGATTCCTCCAAGTTCCAAGTAATGATACTGTAATCAAGGTCCAGATGTCCTGAAAACCTGTCAGCATTTACCGCCGTCGCAATCTTGTTACTAGACCTAGTCGCTTTCTCTTTCCAATAATTTTTCAGCTCTTATTTTTCAGCTCTAAATAACTGGAGTCAGTTTCTTCCACTTTGTTCTCACCGCAACTAGAAGCCATTCGTTCACCAGACACCCTGCTCTCTGTCGTGTAAGTTTCACTGGGCAGTCTCACAATGCTCACAACACTTGAATTTTTGGGTCTTTGAGACTTCGTGCGCATCGTTGGAGATTTTTAAGCAAACTGTGCCTCTTTTGTGCTTAAGGCTTCAGGATGTGGTTCTGTCTGAGTTTTATGACTCATACCGGAATCGTCATTCCTGGCATTGGTTTTAGATGTTGGCTCTTTTAACTCATATGAATTTTTGTCAACTTTTTGAACATAAGAAGTTTTTCAGCCTCTTGGATGAGGGCATCCAAATGGCTACAGCAAAATTTGCATACCCAAGGAGACAATGACGTACCACATCTCCTTTTGGCCAGTGGTGATTTTCCAGTGCAAACTTTAGGAAACGATAGGTTGCAGTTATCACAATGCATCCCATCATCCGCCGAAAATAACAGTCCGGTCGTCCACAGTCATTACTGAGACTCTTGTGGGCATAAGTTGTTTAAATTACGCAGATGAATGCAGATACCACAACGGAGAATGATATAAAAAACCGCACAGTCATAAAAAGTAAACAAAAACAATCCTTCAACTAATTAAATCAGTTATTATATATTATATTATTATTATTAAAGTACATGAAAGCAGAAGTTCACAATGTAAGAAAAGCCACTCTCCTTCCCATCAGTAGATTAAGCGAATCCATCTGACGAACTATTTGTATATTTACTGCAGTAAGGAACAACACGAAGATAGTAACTGACATAGTAATATCAACTTAGCTGAATAATGTATATTTAATATTGTTGAGTAGTTTCCTGTCCGCGACCTAGAGACGTTGGCTCGTGATTCAAGTGCCAGGTTTTCATTGGATTTTTTTGATTTTGTCAAGCCGTTTGGTATCACGTGTTGTAACCACTTATTTCAGTAGAACTTGTTTTGTCGTCTTCAAATAACTATTTGTTGTTCTGAATCAAAATATTTACTACCTAACCGATAATAATGTGGAATTATTCGTTTTCAGTATGATAAGATGTTGTAGAGATAATGATGAATTGATAGTTTGAGTTATTTTTTGTCCTACTCAGAATGTGCTCCCAATGTTGCCGTCTTCGCTTGTCATTTTCACACTGTCTGGCTAATTGCAGGACCTTGTTCTCTCATGTCCTTAAACATTCGATCGTATATCTTTACTGCTGTTGAGGAATTCAAACCGTCTGTGTATCTTCTGTGTGCTTTCAATGTGTTTGAAATTATTGCCTATTAGCCTTTTAGTTGACCTAGTTTCAGGAATTAGGAAGTCTGTAGGCGTGTATGGTGGCAGACTTGGGGTTACGGAACAAGTGCTACACTCCATATGGAGTGTGGCGACTCGAACTGCCTCACATCGGTGCAAAGTCCTATGTCGGAAACAGACAGACAGACGGAATAAGTAGTGAGCAAGTTAAGGTGACAAGAAACTCGTTCAACCATCAAGTTACCGAAAAAGGGTCTTATCAACCCAGTTATTTTCAACCCCTCGACATTTCGACTCATGTTTTACGCCTATTTTTCTGTTGTAGTGGTTTTAAGTATCTCTTCAGATTGATTTTAAAAATAGAGTTTGTAATTTGCATCACAACTTATGATGAGAACAAGTGGAGCTGCAGAAATGTGGCGTGCATTATCTATAAAATTATGGTGCAACTATATCAGGCTACGGGCCGTGCTTATGTTACTGAAAAGTGGTACTACCTTGTCTTTCAGGTTTCATAAATGGAATAGAATACAGAGGTGTAGTCTATTGCTAGAAAGTCGTTTTGGTCGTGATAGCACGTCGCTTTTGTGTTGTGAGAGGTTTAATTTTTAGAAATCAATCAAATCAATAGGTCTTAATGGACTGGTTGCCGACGTAATTTCAGAATGGATGCATGAGGTTCGTTTGGCATTTTCGACTTAATTCGCTTTTGGCTCTTACTTGATACACAACTATCAAACAACGGATATGTCTAGCAATCTTCTGTTCTATTTAATGTCCAGGAAATGACCGTTGAGGGTGGGAGGTTTAAAAAGGTAGGTATTTTTCAGAAGTGCTTCCGCTCACTCTCGTGTTACCTGGAGCAATATGGTCAGTAGTAATGAGGTCAGGCGTAGTGTTAAGTGAGGAGAAGTTTATCGATTACGTTGTGAAGCTCCGTTGACTGAGGACGCTAGGACTTGTTATGCATGTCGAGCCTCTTTCTTGGTGATCAATTTTATCTGATGTAGGATTAAGTTAAGAAGAAAGTTACAGGTTTTCAGATCGAAATATGGCAGCATATAATGCAGTATTTGCTTGTCGATTAGAGTCATGCACATATAGACTATCTGTTTGGGACTCTCGGAGTTTTAAGAGTCGATTATTGGAGACGGTTGGTGATATGATTCGATGCTGTTAATTGTAGTGTAGATGTTTGCACCGCTTGTTATCATCCAACTTTTGAAAATCTTAGGTAATCTTCAGGTAGTTATTCTCTTGTGTACATCTTCGTCTATTGTAGTTCCATCGTACTCCTTCCCATTAGTTTTTATGTAAGCTCCGTTGGACCTTTGTTTTAAGTTCCACTTTGATAAGTCAATCAGCTTCTCTTCTTAGCACTTATAAACAGCCTTGAGCGATCTCATGTCCCCCAATAAATTTAGTTCTTCATGAATGAATACCGAAGTCAGTGATTCTACCATATGGTTATTTCTGTCACTACAGATTCCCTGTAGAACTATTTAATGCGCATCACTTGGTCAACAAACAGTAGTCAAGGTATTTTTTATTACTGTTAGGCAGAATCTGTTAGCCAAATCTTCGAGGTATTTTGTTTGCTTCTAATTTTTTAAAATATTTTCTTCTTTCAGAATTCTACATTTAAAACGTAATATGGGTGGCGTCATGAGCTAAGCACTTAGCATTCTGTCAAGAATATTCCTATGTTATTTATCAACTGATGACAAACCAAGTTGTTTTAAAATATGAAAAGTTAGAAAAAATTGGAGAAGGTATTTCTTTCTTTCTTTTGTAAACTGTATAGGAACATACGGAAAAGTCTACAAGGCGAGAAATCGAGAAACACATGAAGTTGTTGCACTTAAACGTGTTAGATTAGAAAATGATGATGAAGGTATTCCTAGTTCAGCCTTTCGAGAAATATGTCTTCTGAAGGAATTAAAGCACAAAAATATTGTCAGGTATTTCTCTATTTTATTTTTAAGCTAATGAAAATCTAGGCTTTTTGACGTTTTGCTCAGTGATTCAAGGCTAACAATCGTTTTTGAGTATTGTGATCAGGATTTGAAAAAGTATTTTGACAGCTGTAATGGTGAAATAGATCAGAACACTGTAAAGGTATGAACTAAGTTCATGCTCATTTTATTCTTTTTATGGGATACGCATTATGCTGTTTTAACACAAATAAAACGGACAAATCAATGAGTCATACTTTATTGTTTCAGTCATAGCATCATGTATAATGCACAGGAATAGTAAAACTTCGTTACTTTTTGGCCTTAATTAAAACCATTTAGTTTCATTCTAGTCAGTTGAAGACCAAACGGTAAAGTCTAGGGAAACAAGATAATTTGTGGAGGGTTTATGGAAAAATGAGGGATAAATGCGTTTTGGGCATTCACTTTCTTGAAAATGAAAAACAAAAAGCAGTAACTTAGTGTTGTTTGTATTAGTGGGTTGCTTCCTATAGTGGATTCAATCTTTGAAAAAACACCACTTTTTGTATTCGGGAATATTTTCCACTGAGTTCATCCGAGAGCGATAGGGAATCTAGTCATGTCGTATTGAAGAAATTCGGTTCACTTAAAAAAGGAAATTGTGGACTAGATTGCAATTGCTTCAATCTATGGGCTAGAATAGTAGTTGTAAACACCTCATTCTCCCAAAGTATTTACTAGTTTACATGTACATATGAGGATTTTAATACATTTTATTGAATATTTGGGTGGTTCTTACTTATGTTGATGTTGTATACTGATATTAAATTTCAACACTATGCTAAGAAACATCAATAAACTTCAAAGTTACATAAGTGGTATTACCACAGGAGATGTCTTTACAGTGCAGGATTGTTAAATATACTATACTCTTAGATATCAGGTAACTTAAACAGGGGACTTTTATACACCTTCCTTATATCAGTCAAAGTTTCTTCGTGATGAGGGGAAATGTGAGCAATCTCACTCATCACGTCTCTGTTACCGTTTACATAATAGACCACAATTCCACTAGGGCACAGTTAAAGAAGAGAGTGAAATCAAATGCGTTAATTCTCCTTATCGTTGTTTTGATGCAAAGGAGGAATGCAGTTTTACGTCTTCAATCTACTTCAGAAGTTTCTTCATAAATGTTTCATGGTATTAGTGAATATCATATAGAAATCGCTATCTAAAAAACTAGCCCAGACAACAGTTATAATGTCATGAAACGCTTAAAGGTTTTTGTGCGTGTGATTATTTTCAGACATATGACAGAGGTTAAGCGCATGAAAGGTGACCATATCTAAAAAGAGCTAAACTGATGTCACACAGATTGGTTTTTATTTAGCTCGTTTTGTGTTACCTGAAAAAGATGTTAAGATTTAACATTTTTAAAGCAAATAGCAACAGACTTTTAATCTGATTTTCAGATATGTCGAATAGTTAATTTTTGAAGATGGGTCAGTGATGGTTAGATTACTGAATTATAAGAAGTAACTATCAATAAATACGTCCTTTATTTGGTATCTAGTTGAGCACCACAACTTTTATCCTAGATCTCAATGCCGAGTTAGTATTACTAAGGTCAGGTGTTCACGCCTCAAAGTCCATTGACTTACACACGAAAGGGATATATTTTTTGAGCTGGGTCATACAGCAATTCATTGATTTGAGGAATTTGAGAAATACAATTTTTTAAGGGTTAGGTTACCGTGATCCAAATTGGGTAAGTAGAGAGGGATTTGAGCTTGTGGCTGAATGGTTAAAAATTTACAGCTTTGGTTAGTCACCCACAGCTGTACCTGAATTAACACACTAACATTACGGATTTCAAACTTAGATATTCCGTATTTTCCAAATAGTTGGACTCATTTATTCTCTGAAGGAAGTGTTAGTTGATTTATGACTATGCTGTACAGATGGACCGGAATTTCAAACAGTGGCAAATAAATGAATAAAGACAGTGGTATAAGCAAAGACGGTACATGTTTGCATACTTGTATAGCAGAAAAATTGAAATTTCATTATTGAATTTAAAACACCAGGTTGGTGTATTATTGACACCAAAAACAGGTAAGCACACTTGTCAAATCGATTCAGAAGAGCACCTGTTACTCCATATTACTTTCGGAAGTAGAAGAAAAAAAGAAAGTCCAGCAGGTCATTTTATGGTCCAACTGTCTCCACTTTTTTCCAATCATTTCCCAGAACTAGCAAGCTGTGAATCGAGGTGACACTCGTGGCACCTTGTAGATGCAGCCAGTATCCCTCTATATCTTTTGAAAAGTAGACAGCTAGGGATGAATCTACCTTGATTTAATGTTTTGCTAAATTATTAGCTGCAACCTGTTTAGATCACCGTTTATGATGACCAGCAAAACTCAAGGGAAACTTGGGACACCCTAATGCATTATGAGAATCCAAACATTTGCTACAGGAGACGCTATCGTGTATGCACCCACACTATTAGTAGCTGATAGCAACTTAATATATTTAATTCTGGGCTTGAGTGGCTTAGGGAGAACTCAAGGTGGCACAGCAGAGATGGATGCACTGGAGGTTTATGCTGGCTAGAAATAAGTTGTGATCTGCACAGAGCTACTGAAGGCAATTTCCATTATCTCACGTGCTATCATTTAGTCCTCACTGAGCCTAGATGCCCAAGATGTGCATCCAAGCTTCCCGCTAACATAAATGTCTGTGGGGGGCGCTTGATTGGTAATGCATCTGCACTTCAATTAGTCGGTGCATAAACAGATGATAAAAATGCTGTTTCTGTAGTCAGTTACTTTTTCATCTAATATAACCTGCTGACCTTATGGATGTAAGAGCATAGAGTTGGGTTTTCCATCGCATTTTTGTCTTATATATCTTGTTATGGCTGAGATATTGCATGGTCTTCCAGACTGAAACAGTAAACTGTCTTACGAGGGTGTTCCTTGTGGCTTTGGTTTGACATCTGACTCATTAGTGGATGCGTTCCCATGATTACAGGTTGCCGGAGCAGGTTCATACACCGTTTGTTCCCTTTGGGTTCTGGAGTCCAACTGCAACGTAGGTTTTGGATCAGGATTTTCCAAATATCATAGATGAACTCTCAATGTCCACCATTTCATATTCGCTCTTTCGGTTCTACTGGAGTGCTCCCTATGAGAAGTCAGGAAATATCTATTCGTAGCTACATGACAGCATTTCAAGTAGAATGTCAGGGTCTACCTGGCTGGCTGGATTCAACATAGAACTTGGCACCGAAGTGCAGCGGTTCGAGTTGCCACGTTCCAAATGGCACACAAAGGTAGACAAGAAAATAAGTGAAGGGAAACAATAAAGTTTTGACAAGTATAAGAGTGAAACAGAATGAGTAATGGTAGAAAGGAATACGAAAGATTACAGAGACTGAATACATCTGCGCCATTTACAACGATTTTGAGCCATGTCACCCACTGTCTCCAGACATTGATTCTTAGAGTCCCGAGGGCCCCAACCCGGAAGTTTGCATCTCCCTACCTGACTCAGTTTAACTGTCAAGGATTTCATGGATTGATGCCATGTTTTTGTTTGGCCACCGCTTACTCTTTTCCAACCTGCACCTATATCAGTTAGTAACGCCCGTCGGAGGAGGCGATGGTTAGGCATGTGCAGCACGTGACCTAGCCATCTCAATCTATGTAACTTTATAGCTTCTTCAATTGATTTTCCCTCGTTGCCCAACACTCTACACCTAACGTCCACATTACTTACCTTATTATGCCACCTAACGTGAGAAAGAGATCGTAGACATCTATGATCAAAAACGGTCAACCTTTTCATGTCTTCAACTCGTATTGGTCATGTTTCAGAGCCATAGAGAAGGACGTAGCGAAGTGCTGAGCAGTACACACGTCCCTTGGCTGATAGTTGGATGTCACGCCTACGCCAGAGATGGTGTAAGTTAGCGAAAGTAGGTCGAGCTTTTTGGATCCGTGCTGAGATTTCCTCACCAATCAATCCGTTGGTGCTGATACAACTTCCCAAATAGGTGAAGTGGTCAACATGTTCTATCACTTCATTCCCTATCACTAAGCTGGGGGTAGACGTAGTCCAATCCTGTAGCAGCATCTTACATTTTACGGGGGCGAATCGCATGCCGAACATACGAAGATTGCTGCTCAAGGTGTTCAGAAGACTCTGCATTTTGTCAGCATCCTCCCCTAACAGGATCATGTCATCTGCATATTCTAAGTCCATTAGACTATTCCCTGGTAACAGGTCGATTCCTAAGTCGTTAAGTTCAGTTAGGGATACTTCCATTAGCATATCTATGATGAAGTTAAACAGAAATGGGGAAAGTGGACATCCTTGACGGACACCACTGGTTGTTATCAGTTCAGATGACAATTCCCCATAAGCCCTTACACGGTTACGTGAGTTTGAGTAGAGTGCCTTGATTAGTGCAATGTACTTTCTTGGCACTCCCTTCACAGTCAAACATTGCCATAGTACCTTTCGATCCACGGAGTCGAAGGCCGCCTTCGAGTCAAGAAATATGGCAATTGTTGGATGCCTAAAAGTGTGTCTATTTCTAGGATCTGTCGGAGAGTGAAGATATGATCTATGCACCCTCTACCTGGCCTAAAGCCTGCTTGATTTTCCCTTGTTTGTTCCTCCCGAGTTCGGCTTAGTCTGTGCATGATTACTGAGCCTAGGATTTTAGAGACTATGTTCGTCAGGCTGATCCCTCTATGATTCTCACATGAGGATTTGTCTCCCTTTTTGAATATAAGTATAATAAGTGACTTACCCCAGTCTGATGGAACCGTCTCTGATTCCCAGACGTTGCCTAGTACCTTAGTTAAACTACATACTAGTATGTCACCCCCATATTTAAACACCTCCAGAATAATTCCGTCGGGTCTTGCCGCTTTGCCTCGTTTCAAATTACAGATAACTTTTGTGACCTCACTTACAGATGGCGGGCCAGTGTCTATATCCCATTCTGTTGTGTCCTGGATGGCGGGGAGGTTCAGTGTGGCTGTAGGCAAGTTAAATTGTTCCTCAAAGTGTTCTTTCCAGAGTTCAAGGCGTCGAGGGTCTACCTACTATCAATTTTCGAGCGGAAATGGGATGAAAGTTGGAACTATATTTGTTATGTAGGCGTAGTTAATGATGAGACTATGTAAGCGCTGGTGAATTCTTATTATGGACCGCTAACTGAGGTATTACCTGAGATTTTATGCTGATTATCTTAGGCTGCTACTCACTGAACCTTTGACTTGATATATGACCTATCATGAAGAAGTTAAATTCATATTTTTACGTAATTTTTTCGAAGGCTGTTGTTTATTTTGGTTTGTAAAATTACATTTTCAAATTTGCTGCACATAACTTCATCTGATGCAACTGGTTGGTGTTACTTATTCTTACGGTAGTTATAAGATTGTCTTTTGTTACGTGAGTATGAACTGACAATGAACATAGTAGGTTATTGTCTATTCATAGAATATAACCTAAATGCTGGAGTTCACGTAAAATTGACAATAGTCATTCACAGGTTTCAGCTATTGAAATTTTTGTGAACAACATTTTGTTGTATTTGTTTATTTATTGGGATTCCAGTTGTTCACAAGTTGACTATTAGTCAAAGTTATAATTCCCTATTGATTGATTATTTTGTAATGACAATAATTAAATTACAATGACTGTCTACTGCAAAATCTCATAGGCTGATGTAAATGCAAATATGTAAAAGTATGTTAACAGGGTGAGGGTTATTTTTAGTTTAAATAGTGTACGTGTGAAACTTAATTTAGCCAGAAAGAATGTAAAATAGGCGACATGAAGTCTGAGCCACAGGTTTAATCTCCATCTACTTTTGGATAACCACTTAGCAGTATGACACATTTCCATTTGTACTTAGTTTTATTTAGTATTGAAAAATTGAAATGACAACAAGGTATTATTATTTTTCTTTTTCTGTTTTACGCTTCCCCCCCGCCCCCAGCTTTTTATGTTCCAACTATTACGTGGTTTACAGTTCTGTCACAGTCATAATGTTTTACATCGGGACTTGAAACCGCAAAATCTTTTGATCAATGATAATGGAGAATTAAAGTTGGCCGATTTTGGTTTAGCTCGCGCTTATGGCATACCTGTACGACAGTATTCAGCAGAGGTCAGTTTGTTTTTTTACGGCTTGCGGTATCATTAGCTTTTTCATACTTCTTTTTTTTTATGATTTTCTCTTAAAACACATTCTTATGTTTTTTTTTGGTTTCTTAATAAAACTCACTCATCTTTTTGTTTGACGATAGGAGCCTAGTTTTTTATCGTGTAATGTTTAGCGACTTGAATCAAGTTTACCGCGTACTTGGCAAACAATTTGGAGTTCAACCGACTTGCTTGATACAATGGATCTATATATTTTAAGGTTCTCAATCATATACTGAAGAATTATTTATCCTAACTCTACAGAAAAGCGCAAAAATAAAGTGTGTTAGTTAATTTGAAGCTGACGAAGTATGTAACTTTAAAGGCAGATTTCATAACAAGTGGGCGTCTGGTTGAGAACCATTGAAACTTAAGGAGTACTGGACAGTTTTGTGCCTCAGTGATTAGATAGATAGGCTAATTTAAGGAATGAGTAATCTTTAGTGATGTAACTACCAGGAGAGATATACCTCCAGACACAGAAGCGTCAATTACTAAATTAAAAAAATACTTGTAAACAGAGTTAAAAAGATTTTAATTGAATTTTAGATTTTCCCGTCGATTGATTGAACCGAAGTGCTCGGTCTCAGGTTGATACGTCGGCTTTTTGTGCAGATGCTTCAATGATGTCTGGGCATGTAATTAGAGGTTAATTTGGTGGATGGTGACTAGCAGTGGAATCCAGGATGCGCATTTCGTCCTATTTGGGGTTCGTCATCTGGATGTACCTGCATTCCGCAGTAAGTGATGATGTTCCCACCGAGGCTCGAACCCAGTGCCCATAGTTTCAAACGCCAAATCGAGCATCATCACTCACTGCGGAATGCAAGTACATCCAGATGACGAGTCCCAAATAGGACGAAATATGCATCCTGGATTCCACTGCTAGTCACCATCCACCAAATAAACCTCTGGCATTAAAAAGAGTTTCCATATTGTTTAGTGTTCCTAATTAATTTTTGGGTAGTTCGAAAATCACAATGTCCAGGAATACTCACATTTTGATCAAGAATTCTTGTCAATTTTACTAATTAGAGCATTAATATTAATAGATACTTTGAGTAATGTAGCTTAAAGAGTCATCGACTATCAATTTTTAAAATGGTGGGAAAAATTGGTAGCGCTGGTGGATGTTTTTCGTACTGTATTCTCTGAGCTGAGTGGTTTAATTAAAAAGTTCTCACTTCCTTTCTAGACAACATCTTCAGCTCTAAATTCAATGTGAAGCGTGATTTTGGAATTCCCCAATGAATGAGATAACTGTCTTTCCTTATCAGACTGACTGTATTCACTTACATTGATATCGATCGTTTCGTTGATTTGGCACTTAACTTTTTTACCATAACGACTTGTGTTTTATAGGTTGATAAATTTGATCTATACCAGTAATGTCAGGTGGGTGCGATTTGATCCAAGTACAAGGTTTCTAGGGGATTCTCTGTCAAGTTTATCGTTTCCTATTGGAAGTTTCTACATCTCTCCAATTTGAATTGGTGTCCGTAGTTGTCTACATACATTTATATGAATGAGTACATTTCATGTCCTTTCATTGTCATTGATAGAGAATACTGAAAGCTCACTTCATATTAAAGTTAGCTCCTAAGATGTTGTCTAAAGAGTAAATGACAGCTTCACAATTAAAACATTCTAGTTCAGATAACATAACAAGAGAATAAAGTTGCCAGCTCATTAGGCCTGGTATCAAGTTTTGGAGTTTATAGACAAAAAAAAAACAGTTTATCATAAGTCAAAAAGTTGGATTGAGGAAAACGGCAAAGTGTCAAACATTTCAATCTTATTGTCTACCTATATTGAGAATGCAAGCACATTATTCTTTCAATGCAGGTAACGAGTTTGTTTACAGGGTGAATTTTTCATTGTTTATACTTATAACCACTTAAATCGAATTTGCTATGTTGGCTGAGGTAGCATTATGTTTCCTGAGAATGAAGATATCATTCCACTAAGTCACTGATTTTAGCCTGATGAACCGATTCCTGACTGACCATGTGTACCTCCATTTAGAGATTTTTGGTAAATGCAACCATAACACGTTACAAATTGTCCGTCAGAACATGGTCATCAAACCCGGAGATTTTCTATTATGTGGTCTCTTTCTAATAAAACATTTGTTTATGGTATGTAGCAACAGTTGCCTTGTTTAACTTATGGTCGTGAATATATAACTCAAGAAGATTTTTCTTAACTACTAGTACTTTTGAGTCTTTCCAAATTTTTCGAATAAATCTGATGGTAAAATTTAAACAACAACGTTGTAACCAAACCCAATTTTATGTGAAGAAAAAACATTGAATGTTTTCACTGTGAAAACTAAATTCTGAATTCTTTTAATTAATCTTTGTCTTTTAAAGGTTGTTACACTCTGGTATCGACCACCGGATGTTCTTCTTGGCGCTAAACTCTATACAACTTCAATTGATATGTGGTCAGCTGGGTGTATTTTTGCTGAAATGTCTAATGCTGGAAGAACTCTTTTCCCTGGCTATGATGTTGAAGATCAATTGCAGAGAATTTTCAAGTAAGTAACTGAAGGTAAAAGTTGTAACTGATGTTGTTTATCAACTTTAGTGATATGGGGATAGCTGTAATTTCCTGATCAACTTTTAAGTGTAATTTATAACCGTGATGCTTACTATATATGATGATAGACTTCCAAACTAATAAAGATTTCCATGTAATTTACTAAACGTAGAACTAAGGGAATATTTTTGTCTTGACGGAAAGTTAAATTATTAAGTCTCTTCTTGATGTACTAATTCCATCAAGATGAAATATAAACAGCTATATTATTGCTATTGCTGTTGTTGTTGTTCATTCTTTATGTTCCGAGTATAGTCCTTCTAGGTGAAGACGCTGACAAAATGCAGAGTCTTCTGAACACCTTGAGTTGCAATCTGCGAATGTTTGGCATGCGATTCGCTCCCGCCAAATGTAAGATGATGCTACAGGACTGGACTACATTGACTCCTAGCTTAGAAATAGGGAGTAAAGTGGTAGAGCGTGTTGACCACTTCACTTATTTGGGAAGTTGCATCAGCCAGTGCCAACGGGTTGATCGCCGACGAAATCTCAGCACGGATACAGAAAGCTAGTTTCGCATATGCCAGTTTACGCCATCTCTGGCGTAGACGTGATATCCGACTATCGACCGTACGTGTGTACTGCTCAGCAGTCCGCTCCGTCCTCCTTTATGGCTGTGAGACCTGGCCATTGAGAGTGGAAGACATGAAAAGGCTGGCTAGCTGTCTTTGATCATAGGTGCCTGCGTTCTATCTCCCATGTGAAGTGGTATAATAGGGTGAGCAATATTGAGGTTAGGCGTCAAGTGCTAGGTAAGGAGGGGAAATCAATAGACGAGGCTGTGAAGCTACATCGATTGAGATGGTTAGGACATGTGTTACGCATGCCTAGCCATCGTCTTCCTCGACAATGGACAATGTTAGCTGACATAGGGTCAGGTTGGAAAAGAGCTAGTGGTGGTCAAACCAAAACATGGCTTCATCAGTCAATGAAATCCACAACAGTTAGTTTAAGCCACGTAAGAAGATGTAGACTTCCTGGTTGGGGTCCTCGGGACGGTAAACACCAATGGCTGGAGACAATTGGTGATATGGCTCAAAATCGTTTTCAATAGCGCAGATGCATCCACTCCTTGTGACTTATAATACCCAATAAAACTATATTGCTCTTCGATATTACTATTCTTTTTGCCTCATATCTCTGTTTACTGTTCCGAGTAGGACAAAAGGCTTCAAGCTGTAGACTTTGAAGTTCCAGTAGCGGAGGTTTTGTTTCTTTTTTTTAAGGGGTGAAGTTGCTGGATGCACGCCCGACCTTCCCTCGACTAGGTGAGATTTAGGAGTGCGTCGATCGGGTGGTGGTATTCTACCATTGAACCATCGACTTGCTTGAATTATTGCTAAGGCTGAGTAAACCTTCGTTGGATCGGGTGTTGTTTTCTGTGAGGAATTTTTTATTGTAAATTTTATCAAATTCTACAAGCCTCCTTATTTTTGTTTATTCATTTATTTCATTGCTTTTTCACCTCTTTCTTTCTTTTCTATTGCCTAAGGAGAAAGTTAAATAAATTTACAAGTGGGTTTTTATTTTCTTGTTCACATTTTCATATCAGACTGCTAGGCACTCCAACTGAATCGACATGGCCATCTGTTGTTGAACTACCAGACTATGAAGTAAGAAATGTTTATAATTAATTTTCTGTTATAACCTATTTTGGTTAGTCAGTCAAGTATCATAGTGTTCTCATGAACAGCTTAAGTGTTTTAATTTGATTAATGTAAGCGTAGAATTTGAACAGTGCACCAGAGGATAATATATACATAGAGTATCATATCAGCTTGATGCGATTAGGATCAATAAGTTGTACTCGAAACATCATTCAATTATCAATATTGCATAACTGTATGTGCTATATCTAATAAAGACACAGTTTTCATATGACACGAAGATTGTTAAATCGATATATTATTGTGCCTTATTAAACATTTTGATAGATAGTTGTGTAGAATATATATATATATATATATATATATATATATATAGAGAGAGAGAGAGAGAGAGGTAAAATGTGATCTTTTAAGAAAATAAATATTGACTTTGAAGCCTACTTCCGTTTTTTCTACAGTGTATTGTTGTTCTGTAAGTAGAGTTCATTATAAATGACATTTCTGTGACATATTTTAATGTCCATATATATTTCCTTCAATAGCTAAAGGTAGTTCACTCATGGATAGAGGAGTGGTTGTAAACAATTTATTTGAAGTTAGATAACGTCTTATTTAACGGTCATGCAGAGTGCCTTGATTGGCGCAGATACTGTCTTCACAACCAGACATTGCCATAGTAACTCTTGATCGGTGGAGTCAAATGCCACCTTCAGGTTAAGAAATATATAGATAGTGTTAGACGTGGGTATGTGTGTATTCTAGAACTTGTTGAAAAATAAGGATTTGATCAAATCAGTGCACCCTAATCTGGACATGAAGCATGCCTAGTTTTCACCTGTTTGTTTCTCTCGAGTCCTACTTAGTCATTGCTGGACTATGGAACTTAGCATATTAGATACTATATTAGTGAAGCTGACTCCCTTGTGATTATCATTGGGAGGTTCGTCTTTTTTCTTATAAACTGAGATGATCAACGGTCTACATTAGTCCGACGGAACTATTCCAGATTCTCATATACTAGCTAATACCTAAGTTAATCTAGTCAATAATTCATCGCCGTCATCCTTAAAAACCTCTGAGGTCATATCATCAGGTCCTACAGTTTTACCTCAATTTAGGTTGAAGACAGCTTTTGCAACCTTAGTTACAGTCGGAGGGGGGTGGGTGATGTCTAAATCCTATTCATGCTTTGGATGGACGGAGTACAGGTATAGGCTCCTCGAATTATTATTCTGCTTAAGGTTGGAGCTGTCTTTTCTATGAGGCCGTTGAATTTCCATCCCTTTTGGAAATCATATCACTTACCGTATGTTTTTTACATCTCGTTTCCATGACAAGCTCAAACACTTAGTGGGTATTAAGCGCTGCTGATGCCTTTTCCATTTCCTTCGCTGCTATCACCTTCCACTGCTTGTAGTCGTTGTGAAGACGTTCAGCCGGTTTATGTTTAAATAACGTTCGCTCCTCAGAGTTTGCCCAGATCAATCAGCTTGCGTCAATAATTTCAAGTGAAACTGTGAAAATACACCGACATTTACAACTTTTCCTTCAGCAGATTAGATTTTGTCCTCAGCGTCTCCCGAATAATCATTGCTGTTGCGCACATACACGAGTTTAGTTATCTCCTTCCTCAATATAGACCTCATGTTCTCATCAGAAAGCTGAAGACGTAAGGGCTTTGTAGCTACTTTTATTCTGTTTCCCTTCAATTGCGAGCACACAAACTCACGAATTGATGTATGATCAGAGTCGATATAGGCTTTCTAGAGGGAACAACAGTCTTCTACCTAATCTCTCCATTGATAACTTATACCTAAGTGGTCTTTATGTGTCCATTGTTGGCTTGTTATCGGCGGTTGCTAGGTGTGACAATATCTCTTCTTATATTTGAAATTAGTACTGTTCAGGAACAGGTGCTTATTTAGATGAAACTGCAATCGACAATCACCGCTAGGGATTCCATAGACAATTTCAATATGGTATAAGTATGACTTTGTTCACAGAACACTACACCATAATGACAATTTCTTTTACTGTAACTGCTGTCCATTCAAATTTTCTGGTATGTTTAGAACAGCACGGATATTTTCTCAAATAGTGCAACTTGTCGGGGGAGCAGATGTTGGGGAGGGGGTGATTGATAAAGTTAAAAAACATGATAAATTAATAGGCATTAACAAAGAATTTCTCTTGTATACTGAGATCACTGAATGGTTAATGAGTTCAGACAATAACAGTCTGGTTAATTTTCAACACTTACTGTGTTAACTATTTTGGTGTTACATAAGTTCGAAGACTTACGGGCGAAAACCGACAAGTTGTTAGAAGAAGAAGCAGCAAAGATAGGACTTCAAAGGAACATAGAGAAGACGGAGATGATGAAGATAACCAACCAACAAAAACAAGCACCAATCATCATCGAAGGAAGAAATTCGTAGGAAGTTACTTCCTTCACTAATCTAGGCAGCATTGTTATAACTACAGGCAACACGGATGAAGATGTCAAAACCAGAATTGGAAAAGCAAGGCTTACCTTCAACACTCTGAAATCAGTTTGGAAAATCTGCTGCAATCAGCATAAAGAACAATGTTCAGATTTTTACTAATATCGAATCAGTCCTTCTATATGGTTCAAAAACTTGACACGAGCGTCACCAAAAGTATTTTCAACAGCCTACTGCAGATTTTTATCAACAGCTGTCTTTTTTCCATAGTGAAGATCAGATGGCCGGTCGGAATGAATTAGCAACAAGAAACTTTTGGAACGAACCAATGACGAATCTGTTGCTCAACAAATATGTAGGAGAAAATGAGGATGGGTCGATTGAACACACGCTGAGCAGATCGTTGAGTTACATCGCGCGCCAGGCCATCGCTCAAGTGGAACCTGAGTGGAAGACAATGAGTTGGGTGGCCGAGTGTGACATGGAGGAGATCGTATGAGGAGGAGATGGAAGCTTACGAGTAATCGTAGAGCCAGCTGAAGAGGATGGCAGAAAATAGAAGAAAGTGGGATGTGTTGTTGAAGTCCTATGTTGTACTCGGAACGCAAGGGAATAATAATGGTAATAAATAAACCCAATAGATTATTAGAAGCATATTACTTCAGGTTAACAACATATACTGTACTTCTTGTTTAATTTAAAAAGTTGTATTTTATTAATTGTTAATTGTCCTTTACATTTATTTTATTAGCCATTTACTGTGATATATCCTCGGACAATGAACTGGCATCAAGTTGTTCCTAAATTATCATTTCGTGGTCGTGATTTGCTACAGGTAAGAGTTTTTTTACTGTAGGCTTCATTTGATACTTTTATTCATTTAAAGTTATTACAGGCTTTATGTATTATGTATCTTGATTAACCCACGTTAGAATGTGGGTTAGTTACATGTGTGTACTCCTCCCCCACCCCTCTAGTATTTGGAAAAGTAAAACAAAATACGCTTGCATTTCAGCTATTATATTCTGTGGCGATTGACAGTGGGAAATAAGATTTGGGTTTTGCTCTAATTGGAGCCAGTCAGGTGCATATGTCTGGATACCGATTGGAGTTGTTATCCCTGATGTATCTTCAATGCCGCTTTTACGCTTTAAATATTGCGATGTTATCAGGTGAACATAGAGAAAACAGAAGTGATGAAGATTCCTGGGCAAGAACAACAACAACAGACAACATCAGCATAAATGGGAGGAACCTGAAATAAACAACCTCTTTTACCTACCACCTGGAAGCATCGCTTCAACTACAGGCGGAACTGACGAGGATATCAAAGCAAGAATCAGAAAAGCAAGACAAGTTTTCACTACTCTCAAGTGTGTGTGGAGGTCAACAGCACTCAGCATCGAAAATAAGATCCGGATTTTCAACTCCAATGTGAAGTCAGTGCTACTATACGGATCAGAGACTTGGCCAGCGCGTCATAAAGAACATCTCAAACAAACTACAGACCTTCATTAACAGTTGTCTTCGCTCAATACTCAAGATCAGATGGGCCAGAAAAGATCAGCAACAAAGATCTCTGGGAGCGAACCAACCAGCAGGAACCGATTGTGAAACAAATAGGCAGGAAGAAATGGAGATGGATTGGCCTTACTCTGAGGAAACCATCAAGTGACATCACTAGACAAGCCATTGCTCGAGTGGAACCCGGCCGAAAGGGAAGCGGCGAGTTGGTCGTCAGTGCAAGGGTGAGGGTGACTTGGAGGAGGTGATGTGAAGAGGAGATGAAAACGTGTGGGCAGACATGGAGCCAGGTGAAGACTCTAGCAGAGAACCGAACACAATGGAGATGCACGGCTGAAGCCCTATGTTCCTCTAGGAATTAAAGGAAACAATAATAATAATAATAATAATGTTATCTGTTATCATCTTTAACTGATATGACTCTTTTGTAGTAATTGTCGATATTTTCCATTGTTGTCATAAACTGATTGATTCGTTTTATTTGGCTAGTATAGATGCTCAGATGTATGATGTGGATATTTGAATTTTCCAAGAGGAAGAAACCTATGCCCTAGATTCAGTTATGTTCTTTAGGTTGAGCAGTCAGATCATATCATTTATCATTATGATTATTATTCCCCCTGGGTTTCTTATGGAATATAGGGGACTTCAGCAGCAAATCTCCATTTCACTCTCTTCTCTGCAGTCCTTTTTAGCGGACTTCACGATCGCCCATAAGCTTTCACTTCCTACGCACACGATCTCCTTCATATTACCCTCGGACTACGCTCAACTGGTCGTTTTCCATTCGGGTTCCATTTATGGGCGATGTCACTTAATGGTCTCCTCAGCGCATGTCTACTCCATCTCAATTTCCTTGTGCATATTTGTTGGGTAATAGGTTCTTGGTTTGTTCGTTACGACAGTTGCCTGTTGTTAATTCATTCCGACCGGTCATCTGATCTTCAGTATGGAGAGAAGACAACTGTCGATAAAAGTCTGCAGCGGCCTGTTGGAAATGCTTTTGGTGATACGCCAAGTCTATCAACCGTATAGGAGCACTAACTTGATATTTTTGTTGGAGATTGAGGTCTTGTTCCTTACGTTGAGGGCAGCAGATTACCATATATTACAAATACTTAGATTTCAGAAACTCTGGGAACAAACCAACCAAGAGCCGATCGCTCAACACATATGTAGGAGAAAATGGAGATGGATCGGGCATACATTGAGGAGACCGTCACATGACATCGTGCGCCACGCCCTCGAGTGGAATCCAAATGGGAAGAGACGAGTGGGTCGTTGGTGTGAGGGTGACATGGAGGAGATCGTGTAGGGAGGAGGAGATGAGAGATTATGGGCAATCGTGGACCCAGCTGAAGAGGACAGCAGAAAATAGAAGAAAGTGGAGATGTGTTGTTGAAGCTGTATATTCCACTCGGAACCCAAGGGAATAATAATAATAATAGATTCTAGCCTTTTAAGGAAATCATAAACCTAAGTTTGCAACTTATTTTCACTGACATATGCATGTTATCTTAGGACAAAACTCCTGCTAACTTCATATTTTTTTCTATTTTCTCAATTCCAGCAACTTGTTGTTTGTAATCCAGCCGATCGAATATCAGCAGATCAAGCATTAAAACATCCATATTTTGAAAGTATCCTGTGATCATGAGTTTATTATTATTATTTTCATCACCAGCACTCACTCCTATTACTAGTTCATCAAATGAAGATTGCCAATTCTCGAGAGAGAGATAATTCAGTCTCTCAGATATAGATAGATCTAGAATTGTGAAAACAATTGCATTTTCATTTTGATGTGTATGCTTTCTGTATTATTCGGATTCTTCTTCTTCTTCTTATTGTTATTATCAATACTATTCAATACAGATGTACAAATTCTTGTTGTCGTCAATTTTATTATTGATCATTTAACCCTTGTTGTTTTTATTCTAAGATAGATGACTGACTAAATAGATAGATGAGTTGAACAAATGCGAATTGTATAGTTTTTAGTTGAATACATTGTAGGCTTGCATTTTCGTGTTTAAACATTGTTTGAGCCCCACCTACTTCATCATTCAGCCTGGGTGATCTAGTAGTGTATCATCAGCTCTCACAGAATAGGTGTGGCTCATAGCTTGGTACATAAAAGACCTGTTCCGGGTAACTGAGTTCAGACAACAACAATAACAATATCAGATGGTTGGAGGCAATCGACAGGACGCCTTGGACCTAGGTTTCGTGCTAGTTGGCACTCACCAGTCAGTCAGCAAGGCGTATCTGCAACCTTGAAGGAACTCATGTCCCTTCTGAGATTCGAGCCGGTGTCACGCAGTGCTGCAGTCAGAGACGTTACTACTGAGCTATTCGAGCTCGCGATTGACCTCCTGTGAGACTGTATTAGATACTTCTGATTGTAAACTTGACTAATAGAATTCAGTCTGCAGTAAACAAAAGGATTAGACACATGAAACTGGAAGTGAACTGCTTTTCTTGACATTTTTTATGTTTTACTGGTTACTCATTTTCTACGATCACTTTGAATTTAGCACGACATCTTGCTTAGTGTTTAGATTTTAAATAATTTGTTGTTACTGGTAACATGATAGTGCGTCGGTGGCACAGCGGTAGAATGCTCGCCAACCAAACAGGTGGTCCGGGGTTCGACTTCCGGCCACCGACGCACTCCTCAACCTCGCTAAGCCAGTAATAAGACTGGTAAAGAGGGAAGGTTGGGCATGAGTCTAGCAACTCCATCCCGTAAAAATAAACACCACTGCTACCGAAACTTCAAGCCTCTAGCTTGAAGCCCTATGTTCCACTGGGAACGTAAAGGAATAAAAGAAAACAGTAACATGATAGTAGAGGCTTTTTTTTACTAGAAAACATAATCACGGCATTCGTAGTATGAGTTGTCACTTATTTATCTTTTTGTTTATTGCCAATCGTTGTTACAAGTGTTAGTTTGAAAATATTTCGTATTGTTATTATTAATTCATTGAAGACGCCCGTAAAAAATTTAAAAGACTGATCAATGATAATTATAGAACACGATTTAAGTAAATAATTATTTCCGGTAAATTCTCATCAGGCTTTACAATTACATAAGTATAGCTTGAAGGACACTTTCGAGTTAATAGGAAAAGTGAGAGATAAGAAGATCAACGATGAAACAGTGGTCTCTATGGATTTCACTTCCCTGTTCACTAACGTCTCTTTATTAAAGACTATCGACTTCATCTGTGAATCTCTGATAGAAAATGATATGGAAGTAGGTATACCGCTTAAAACATTACGGGAACTGCTACTGCGTTGTACGGTGAGTGTGCAGTTTCAGTTTAACAACAAGATCTATCGTCAAGTGGAGGGCATAGCAATGGGCTCCCCTATGGGTCCTTTCTTAGCTGATATGTTTATAGAGAATCGTGCATTAAGAAATGTAATCAACGAACTCGCATTCTACTGTAGATACATGAATGATACTTTTGTGGTGGTGTGATACAGACAGTGTGTGCCAACGGAATATTATTCTCAAATATTCCCACAGTTCAATTCCACATTAGCAACAGAATACGATATACCTATCTGAACATTCTTTTTCATGTTAGAGACAGAATACTTTTCCAACGGTTATATAGTGCATTAACAAAAGAATACTACGTGTATTAGATGGTTAGAGGCAATCGGCAGGAAGCCTTGGACCTAGGTTTCGTGCTAGTTGGCACTCATCAGCAAGGCGTATCTGCAACCTTGAAGGAACTGATGTCCCTTCTGAGATTCGAACCCGCGTCACCCAGTGCTACAGTCAGAGACGTTACCACTGAGCTATTCAGGCTCGCGACTGACCTCCTGTAGGACTGTATTGGATATTTTTGATTGAACACTAGTCAGTAACTAGTGTAATGTGTCTAGTCCTATCTTCGGTGCAGACTGAATTCTATCAGTCAGTGGTTCCTTCAAGATTGCAGATACGCCTTGCTGATGAGTGCCAACTAGCACGAAACCTAGGTCCAAGGCTTCCTGCCGATTGCTTCCAACCATCTAATACCAACAATTCACAGTGCACCGCAATGGCGAGCCACCTAGCATGGTGGCCACATTGCAAACATGACTGATAGAACTCAGTCTGCACCGAAGATAGGACTAGACACATTACACTAGTTACTGACTAGTGTTCAATCAAGAATACTACGTGTATTTGAACATTCTGTTTCATTTCGTTTGATGTAAACTGAAATGACACTCTCAGTGATTTGTTAAAGAATATAAACTGTATATATATAAACAGTGGTTTGATCAAAGGAAAATATACCTTGGCTCCCGTGTCTTGCCTTCCGTTGTTACACTTTTATCTGACATATGAATCAAATAGATACCGAGGTCCTCAAAACGTTCTATACGGCTCACCCGCAAATTGAGTGCCATATATATATATATATATATATATATATATATATATATATATATATATATATAGCACTTTACCGTTTAAAGGAGACGCAGCCACTGAATTGATGGCATGCACACTCTGAAAAATAGCTAAAACATAGGTAGAACGACTCGGAAAACCCACCGTCTCCCTTTTGAGCACTGTTCAGTGGGCTTAGGTAAAGGATTCGTAAAGTCAATCCGGAGTTCAAATATCGGCACACCTGGTGGATACACAGCATAAGATTGATAAAAATTCTGCCTTTACAATTCTATACAAGGTGTCACCTGAATTCTCTAAGTTTTTACGCCTTCGATTACTAAGCATAGCTGGTACAGTTGCCATAATGATTTTTCAACTCAATCTCTGTGTTCAGAAGAGGTTTGTTCAATCCCTCTCATGGTCTTTAAACCCAATCTCCCCCGGTGACACCGAATAACTGCGAACATTGTTGTACATTTTAATCTCGGTTTCACAATTTATTATTATTATATTATCTAATAGCTATACGACAATAGTTATTTTCCCCTCTACTCTTACTAGTGTACACATTCTACCTACATTCCACTGGATTATATTTGATTCTATTGATCCACGTTGTTTCAAATGTTCATGACTAATATTTTATTATGCAATACGTATTTGCTTAAATCGTGTTCTATAAATATTACAATGGGAATATTTAAATCATGATTATGGTTTTCCAGTTTAGTCACGGATTGATATCATTTAGAGAACGATTAAAAGTCAGAGAGTACTCGACAACTGTTTCGTCCTTGTTTGAGCCTTCTCATCAGTACGCACCTATCTTCCCACACAGGATTTTCCGGTTACAAGGTGAGCTCATACACCATTCAACCACTGGGATTGAATCAATGATTCCCAGACTAATATCAATCCATGATCAAACTTGAAAACACCCAAATCCCAACAAATGAACACTTGAAAGATACTTGTTTTATAAGGAGACCTTGCTTGTTTTACTGTTTGTCTTTCAACTGAAGTGCACTTTACAGGACTGACTGTACTCTAAGGATTTCTTTTTTCGGTCACTTGTTGCAAGTATTGGTAGTACTCACATGAGTATTTATGCAGTTTCGTGAATAAAATTTTGATTTTTTTCGAATTTGATCACGGATTGATATCAGTTGGAGAGCCATTGAAAACCAACACTGGAGTACTGGATAGCTGTTTCATCCTGGTTTGGGAGTCATCGGCAGTAAGCACCCACCAACAGGGTTTGAACCCAGGATCTTCTGGTTACAAGGTGAACTCGTATACCATTCAGCCACTGGGACCCGAATCAATGGTCAGCCTATGAATTCTAAGTTCTACCAATTCGTGATTTTTAGCGCAACTGCCGATGATTCCCAAACTAGGATGAAACAGCTGTCCAGTACTCCAGTGCTGGTTTTCAATGGTTCTCTAACTGATATCGATCCGTGAGCAAATTCGAAAAACAAATCATCCCTTGAAAATCCGAATTATTTAAAGAAAATAAATACTCACATACAAGGAAACCTTGCGTCAATTTAGTTTGAGGCGCCCTACAACAACACAGAAATAAGGTGTAACAGGTGTAAACTGACTGACCGACTGACTGATACCTGTATATATATCGACCGACATTGCCATTGGTTCTGCGTTATTATGAAATTTAAATTATGAATCAAACCGAACGAACAGCAGAAGCCGTTTAAAAGTGGTTATTCTTCTTTGTATTTTATCGCTTACTTTTTACTCTTTACACTTTAAAAGTGAAAATAATTTTATTGCTACAAGTATTATTCAGTTCGTATATCAATTTCACTGTCAATACTACTATTATCAGTAATATAGGTTGTATTATGTATCTTTTTCTGGTAAAATATCAGAACTTCCATGTGAACTGACTGTATCATAATTAGAATCAGTACGAAATGATCGAGATGATGTCTGTCGTATTGATGATTTGTTTGTATCAGGTGATTGGTGTAGATCAAAGCTCTCTCCAATATTAGTTATTGGTAATGACAGGCTTTCAGATTGAGATGATTTTCGACTTCGATCTATAAAAGTTATTAAAAACAAAAGTAAACAAAAGTACGACTACAATTCAAGGGCGATAAACCAAGTGAGTTAATTACAAAGAAATTAAGAAAAGCAGTTCAAAGGACTTTTAATGCTGGCGAACTACACATCTTATTCTCTACAAGACCGATGGTGCTACCTCGACTGAAAGATGAAGTACCTAGGCTGGCCACTTCAAATTGTATTTATCAATTCGACTGCGCTTGTGGAGCGAGTTATGTTGGCCGTTGCTCTGGGAACTTGATTTTTCGTGCTCACTCGAGAGCATATCCCACTATGGCTAAGTAAAGGTGTAGTTAAAAGTATTAACAGCCATCTGGTGCAAACCGGTCACAAAGCCAGTGTAGACGAATCCTTCTCCATAATATACCGGGTGCCTAACAAACTACCAAAATCGTCGAAGCACCGCTTACTCCAAACAGCAGAGGCTATTGCAATTCGCCTCAAATAACCAGCGCTCTGTGTCCAAAAGAAACAAGTCCAGCCCCTACTACTGCCCTGGCCCTCAGTAGAGACTATAAACTCATGAATTTGTACCATTATCTTTCCTAATTCTTCTGACATTCAGTTTAATTGATGTTGATGCTGTTCAGCTGTAATTTATCAATCTTATTGATTTGATGTTATTTAAACATTAATGTCGTTCATAAGACTAATTCATTCATTCATTATAATGTATATATAATTGTAGAACCTGATGATGAATTTATCGAAAAGAGTTCTTTTTGTTCAGTGTCTAATCTTTTCAAAAACAAAAGTGTTTGAATGTATAAGCTCATATCTTAAATTATCTAAGGAGTATAGGAAAATAATTACCGGTAATTAAAATGACAGCGGCTATACATCATTGGCTCGGACATTCGACTTTCTACTGAATCTTAAATCATTCATCCTGATATACGCAGATGTATAGTGCGCATTATATGTTTAAATAATCTACATAAAATAATAAATAGCATGGGATTATGTCTTTAGTTTCGTCTAGTGGCTTGCACTGTCGATTTTTTTTAAAGTGGGGCATAGAGTAAAACCGTGGTACACTTCATGAGGTTCATATCGAACTGTTTTAACTAACCCCCGTTTGTTACCATGGCCTTAAACTTTTCTTTCTTTCTTTGAATCTTACAATAACTTCTCGTGTGTAATCCATATTCATTCGGTTTTTCTTTTCTCTTATTCCATCCTTTCAAATTCCTAATTTTGAAATATACTTTAGAAATATTCTGAATTTCATACCCTTTTGGGAAATGTTATTGTTTCTAAGAGCTTGTAGTTTTTAATGGTGGTCATTTCTGAGCGTCATTCACCACTTATTGTTGTTTTTTGGATTACGCAATTGTTATCGATGATATTAATAGTGCTTCTTAGTGTAGCAAATGAAACAAGTAGTATCCCATACAAGGTTCTGATTTGTTACAATAAGCCGTGCATAAATGGCTTTACATGAAAGAAAAACTTTAAATTCACTTCATTTATTGTTTATTTATTTTATTCCTTTACGTTCCGAGTGGAACATAGGGCTTCAAGTTAGAGTTTTGAAGTTTCGGTAGCAGTGGTTTTATTTTTACAATACGGGGGGGGGTTGCTAGCCTCACCTAACCCAACCTCCCCTCTTTACGGGCCTTACCACCGACTTAGCAAAGTTTAGGAGTGCGTTGGCTGGGGCTCGAGCCATGAACCACATACGTGGTTGGCGAGCGTCCTACCGCTGAACCACCGGCGCAATATACATGTTAGATGATCGGATGCGATCGCCGGGAACCCCTGGATCTAGATTTTGTGCTTATTGATACTTGATAGCCAAGCGTGTCTGCTAACATGAAGTAACTCCTGTCTCCTCAGAGATTTGAACCCGCGTCACCTTCTCATGGAGTTACAAACTTTACCACTGAGCCATTCGGGCTTAACCGTCACGGTTTTACTCTTGTGATTTAAATTCACTACTGAAGTCAATTTAACGAAGTTTTCTAAGTCAACCATTTTCAATGTGTTACCAATTACTATCAAACATTTGTTGACACAGCTTATAAATTTTGAAGACGAAACCATAATCTCTTTTATGGTTCATGGGGACTTTGTCCTACCCATTATTTTTTAGTTGTTTCTCCTGCACTGTAAAACGTTTTAATTATCTAAAAATCATATTATTTCAAATATTACCTGGTTCACTTCCATTTTCTTCACTTCGTGATATAGAAGAACGATAGCCTTTAATACTTTCACGTGAAAAATTCAATGATTCACTTATTGATTTTTCAAAATTCAATATCTCGTCATTTATTTCAGGCGAATTTTTCAAGCAACGTTCATATAGTAATAATATAGCCCGATTATAATCACGCCATAGGCGAACCTGCAGGAAAGTAGATGTTATCATGAAGTTAAGTGATATATATATATATAAATTCCCAACTATAAAGTTTTGTAAAGTAAGAACAACAAACTCTGGGATGAATTGAATCCTTTTATATATACAATTTGTAAACACTATTTCTTTTAGTGTAAAATGATAATGATAAATATATCTAATATTATTCAGTTCAGGGATAAAATCGATTTCAAACAAGTCTTCAGTAGCAGTGATATTTTGTTTTTTTTACAAGGTGGATATACTGGCCTCATGTCCAAACTTCTCTCTCTCTTCCGGACTCACTGTCGGCGAGTAAACTAGGCGAGTTTTAGGGGTGCATTGGCCGGATACCTATCGAACTCGGACCATTCGCATGTCTTGAGAGCAGTCTACCATTGGAACAGTGGTTAGGACTCTCGCCGACCATGCGCATGGTCCGGGGTTCGATCCCTGCCGGCGACGATATTATGTAATAATTTGCTAATATCATGCTGAAGTTCCATACTTGTACTGAATACTTATCAAGTGTAAATCAATAAAAAATAAACTTATAGACAACTAAGAGTTTGTTCCACGGAAGCTTTATGATGCTTCCAGTGTGGTTACCTTTTCCAAGAAATATGATTATGTTTAAAAAATGCTTAACTTATTCAATGATATGTAACATTTGCCTTCTAGAGTGGAGAACAAATACATGATAGTGCCAACTGAGTAGAAAAGGTCACTGAAATGTTGAAACAGAGTATAATCTAGCAAAAAGTAATTTGCTGTCTTCTAAACAGAGTTTACTCGTTGAAAAGCTGCGTGGGATATTAAGACACTCTATTACATGTTTGCTATGAATGTTATGATCTTCCCAAGATAAACACAATAGGTATACTTTTAGGTCGTATATTGGCTATGTTGAGTTCTCCATACAGTGGTCTCTGCGAATGATAAAACTTAAAAGAACTAGCTGTTCATGCTTTGAAGGAAAGTTTTTGATTTTTAGTAGACTTGTCAACTTCAGTATATTGTTTTCCGTAATACGGAAATGTTCTGCTTAGTTTCACACACAGTTATGCTGTTGGGATTGACTTTCCACCTAATAGACAGAAGGAATTATTGTTTTCTTTTACGTGAAAATACCGTTTCAGTTTAGTGTATGATTCTATAGGGATATAGAAGGAAGGTAACAGAAAATCTGACTGATCTATTATTTTTAGGTGTATTCCTGACTCACTCGAGGTATTATTAATCGTATGATGCAATGAAAAGGTTTATTTAGAGGGCAATGATTGAAGGTGAAAAGGATGTCTGGGTTACAGCGGGATTAGAACCAGTAGCCTCCGAATTATTAGTTTGGCTCTACCAGCTGAGCTACCAGACAGAAGAAAACCTAGTTGAGCAGCTAGTATGATGACAGACGGACATTAATGTATCATTGATCCATATTACAGCTGGGCAGTAACTTTGGTGGTTGCAGTAAAATTATGACCTGACTAGCAGTTGGGTTTCATAGCTCAGTTGGCAGAGTGCTAGACTAGTAGTGCAGAGGTCACTGGCTAGAATCCTGCCGCCACTCAGATTTTCGTTCCACTTTCAATCATCACAGTTTACATCGGTAACAGTCTGCCAACCCAAGACTGTCTCAGATAGTCTCACTATCAAAAAAATATATATGAGAACATTTTCGATATTACTTTTATTATGCATGAAATAGTAAATCACTTAATTAACCTACTGAGAATTTCTATATTCATTAGTAATTATCTTAAACCTAAATGAACGGATTATTTCTCATAAAACTGTTTTGTTAAGGACAACCAAGTTGTACTCCAAAGAGTTGATCGGAGATGAATACGAAAAAAAATAACTTTAGAGGTTAATAAATATTCCATAGTGTTAATTTATAATCATTTTAAATTGAATGATGAAAACTTGATTGAATCAGTTTCGCGAGTTTGACCACAGATTGATATCAGTTAGAGAACTATCGGAAATCAGGGAGAACTGGACAGCTGTTTCATCCTAGTTTTGGGAATCATCTGTAGTACGCACCCACTGGGGTTCTAACACAGGATCTTCCAGTGGCTGAATGGTATACGAGCTTGCCTTGTAACCGGAAGTTCCTGGGTTCGAACCCCGTTTGTGGTTGCGTACTGCCGATGATTCCCAAACTAGGATGAAACAGCTGTCCAGTACTCCAGTGCTGGTTTTCAATGGTTCTCTAACTGATATCGATCCATAGTCAAACTCGAAAAATAAATCAATTCCTTGCAGACCAACTCTTGAAAATGAATCAGTTTCGCCGACAAAACGTGTTCATTCGACTACAATTCAAAGAAAGTAAATTAAATCCACAAAATAACTGCTAGCTGAGGGACATATACACATCTCATTAAATTATCCTGATGCAGAATTAAAACAGTCATATATATGACACCAAAAACATAATCGTTGTAGGCAACGTGAAAGTGAGGTCCTGCGGTATCTTTCAATGTGTCCATTTATTCACTTGTATTTGTAGTAGTGTGTACTTTGGAAGAATTTTTGAACATACATAAAAAAACCTATGCGTGAGAGATGCAAAATTGTCTGGCATTGATATTTATAGACACCTTCTTGTTATAGATCATAGGGTCAACTCAATCAAAGCTTCTCGTGTAGCTCCTGTGGAATGTTATATCAGATTGCTATTTCAGGCTGGGATGGGGAAAAAATCATTCGATCAAAACCAAACTTAGATTTCAAAAGTATTTTGTGGTTAATTCTGGATTGTATTAGTGACTTGATTGGGGAGATAATTTCAACTCATCGCGAAACATCTATTGTTCTTCCTTTACAAAATTTATTATCATTTTCATTGATTGGTGTGGTCATTTATTTTATGTTGAACTGTTCAGAGTAATAGGAATAGTGAAGTGTATATACAGAGAGAATTATTTCTGGTGTAAATAATGGTAGTAGTTTAAGTTTAGCTGCTCAGTTTTCGGAGATGACCTATTCCAACCTCTCTCCTTAGAAGAGGAAGGTAGCTGGTCTTCCGAAGGGAATATCTCGTTGTTGCTACCGCCACTCAGCCGACCTACCTGGCATGGTAACTTTTTTTAAGAACAATCTTTCCAGCCAGTACTCATCTTTGGATCAGTGAGATATATGTGGGCTTGAATACCACGTTGAAGTGAAAACTTTCTTTTAAGACTATTTCTTATTTAGCTGTACGGTCTTTAGCATTTGTATATTGATGCTAATCCCTCAACAGTTGAGTTTGAGTAAAATAGTGATATACCTTTATTTTGGTTTGTAGGGATTTTGTTTGATTGGTTGGAGGATTTCATCATGAGCTGACATCGGTTAGAGAACCATTGGAAAACCTAGGAGTACTGGACAGCTGTTTCGTCGTAGTTTGAGACTCCTCAGCAATACGCACCCGCCAACAGGGTTCGAGTCCAGGACTTTCTGATTACAAGGCAAGCTCGTAGATCATAAAGTCACTGAGACCCGATCCATTGGCCAACCCATGAATTCTAACTTCCTCCAATTCACGACATAGCGCGACCAGTAGGGTACAGCAGGTCGAAGGTGAGGACAGTTACTCATAGAAGACATTGCTAAGTGATCTCTCTATGTCGTGAACTGGAGGAAGTTAGATTTCATATTTCACCAAGATATATTTAGTATTCTGATATTTTCTTATAGATAGCTTCGTTTGTTAATAAGAAAGCACATTTCGCATATTGTCACTCATTAAATATTATGATATTGACTTTTAGTTCTCCTGGTGATAGTTTTACAATTACACTAGGCTATAGAAATTGAAGTTGAGTTACCCAAACATGTCAGTGTTACAGTCAGTGGTATATACGTAGTCTGTGAGCCACAAAAGATACGCTTAGATTAGGTTGGGTATCTAAATAATTATGAAAGCCACTCAGTCGGAAAATAAATTCAAGAGATTCGTTTTTTATGCGGTGGAAGGCATATTTAGTTTGCACTAAATTCTATTTCTATATATATGTGGGGTAGTTTAGTTATTCAGGATTTTAGATTTGGTTCAAAATCATACTTGTCTTCTAAAAATGCAAAACAGAATGGATCTTCAATATATATATGTAGAAGTAAGTAGGTTTTAAACTGGTTATTTCCTTCTCTAACTGTTTCTTTTATCACTGCTATTAGTATTTATTTTTTAGCTTCATTATTTCTCATTTGCATAACATTTTTTATGCTTATATTGTGTGTCTCTTTTAACTGTGTCGTATTTATCTCTTGGATGTATAGTAGAAAATATGGGTGTGTCTTGTTAGGCTAATGAAGTCTAGATAAGTGTGGAGAGAGAGAGAGAGAGTAGGTAGCTACACTATATCAACTGGGTTATATTTATTCAATTTTATTGTTAGTGTGCGTGAATTATTCTTAAAGAGAAGATAGTTCAGCAAAACGGTTATAGCTTTGTTGGAATGGTATGAAAATACTTATATCATATAATGATGATGACGATGCAAATGAAGTATATTCAAAACATAGATCAGATGCATTCAGGGTGTGTAGACCTATTTGTTCAAACCTTAGTATAAAGTGGTGCAGAATCTTTTCGTCTTGGATAACTCAGGACCTTGTATACTTATCTCAGTAATTGAATAGTGATCAGTTCTAGGAGAGAGAAAATAAAATTAATATTTGTTGACCAGTAGTGCGTCGGTGGCACAGCGGTAGAATGGTCGCCAACCACGTATGTGGTTCGGGGTTCGATTCCCGGATGACGCACACCTTTACCTGACTAAGCCAGTAGTAGGACTGGTAAAGAGGTAAGCAACCCCATCCCGTAAAAATAAATGCCACTGCTACAGAAACTTCAAGCCTCTAGCTTGATGCCCTGTGTTCCACTGGGAACGTAAAGGAATAAAAAGAAGTAGTTATCTCGACTAAATTTCACACTGAGATAAAAAGTATAAAGGACTGAATTTTGAACAGATAGATGAGTTAATCAGAATTCTATGGAGCTTTTCTACATATCTTAGTTGTAACCTCACTTTTTATGTACCATTCCTTATTGAATGGAATGGCAATCAACCCTTACCTCAACTTTATAGACTTTGAGAGGGCCTTCGACAGCGTTGACCGCGAAGTAATTCGGAAACTCCTCAAGTACTACGGTGTACCCCAAATATTCACCAACATTATTCAACAGCTGTACAACAACGGCACATGTCAAGTGATTCGCAACGGAAAACTCAGCGAGGCGTTTGGAGTAAACACTGGAGTCAGACAAGGGTGCCTATTATCACCAATGATATTCCTAATTGTGGTGGACTGGATTATGCGCCAGACAGTGGGAAGCGAGAGGACAGTGATATCCTGGACCGACGTGAAGAACCTAGAAGACCTGAATTTCGCGGATGATTTATGTTTGATGTCACACAAAATCGAAGACTTACAAGCGAAAACCGACAAACTGGTCGAAGAAGCAGCTAGAGAAGACAGGACTCCAGGTGAACATAGATAAGACGGAGGTTATGAAAATAACCAACCAACAACGACAACAGCAGCAACATCCAGCGCCAATCACCATCAACGGGAGGGATTTGAAGGAGGTTACTTCATTCATTTATCTAGGGAGTATTGTCTCAACTACAGGAGGAATGGACGAGGATGTCAAATCGAGAATCGGGAAGGCGAGAAACACATTCATCAACCTGAAACCAATCTGGAAATCTTCCGCTGTCACTCAGCATCAACAACAAAATTCGGATTTTCAATACAAACGTCAAGTCAGTCTGTTCTTCTATACGTACGGATCAGAAACTTGGCCAGTGTGTCACAAAGAATATTTCCAACAGCCTGTTGCAGACCTTTATCAACAGCTGTCTTCGTTCTATACTGAAGATCAGATGGCCGGAAAGAATCACCAGCAAGAAACTATGGGAACAAACAAAACAAGAACCAATCGCCCAACAAATATGCAGGAGAAAGTGGAGATGGATTGGACACTCGCTGAGCTGAGGAGGCCGCTGGGTGACATCGCGCGTCAGGCCAGTGCTCGAGTGGAACCCGAAAGGGAAGCGGCGAGTGGTTCGTCGGTGCAAGGGTGACATGGAGGAGATCGTGTGAAGAAGAGTTGAAACAGTATGGATTGACATGGATGCATGTGAAAAGTACAGCAGAAGACAGAAACAAGTGGAGACGTGCAGTTGAAGCCCTATGTTCCACTAGGAACCCAAGGGAACAATAATATAATATTCCTTACTGATCAACTGCAATGCAATCGAATTGTTACATAGTGGACATATCACTCTGTGCTCATTGGTCTTCGGCGTACTTTAGAATTAGAAAAGAACAGAATTATCGATTGCAAGTCGTTGGCATGTTTACATTAACTCATTCATTTGGAAATATGACTCATTAGCTTAAACACTCGAATTCTAGCCAATGGGTCTTGGGTTCAAGTCTCACTCCATCTACTTCAGCTTGGGCAACTGGATAGTGTGGCTTAGCGCCCGATATCGGATAACGGAGTCCTAAACAATCAACATACAGTAATTCATATTTCTCATAGGGTACTTATTTATATTAATTAACATTTAATATCTTACTAATGTGTACTACTTACATCAACATCTAAACGAATTTCTGGTGTAGGTTTACCTAAACTTTGAATTGCTTTATGATAAAGTTTTTTAGAACGTTTATTTCTCTCTTGAATATCTGATAGAGATTTTAATGCTTTCTCTATACATGCTGATGCACTGCGTACACGTTCAGTTGAAAGATTTAATGATTCATTTATTTCTTGTCTTTGTAATTCAAGATTCTGAAAATGAAGAAAAAAAATAAACAATACAATAATCAAAATTATTTTAAGATATGAAGTAGCAGGTGCTTAGTTGACAGAAAGTATAAGCTCAGAGATAAACTTTGTTTCAGGAGTTGGTTTGTGAGGATTAGATTTGTTTTTTACTAGTTTGCCCATGGATTGATATCAGTTAGAGAACCATTGGAAATCAGGGAGTACTGGACAGCTGTTTCATCCTAGTTTGGGGATCATCGGCAGTACACACCCACCTATCAGGGTTCGAACCCAGGACCTTCCGGTTACAAGGCAAGCTCGTATACCATTCAGCCATTGGGACCAGATTCAACGGTCCATGAATTCTAACTTCTACCAATTCGTGATTTAGCGTGACCACCAACCAATGTCATCAGTGGGACATCCATCCTCACATTTGACTGGATGGACCTCACTGGTCACGACTTCTCACTAGAACTCCAGGAAACTCCGTCCTGTAGCAAGTCACTGTCCAGTACTCCCTGGTTTCCAATGGTTCTCTAACTGATATCAATCCGTGGTCAAACTCGTAATAAACTTTGTTGACTTAAGGACCTGATGGATCCAATCAGGAGAAATAATATAGTTTACAAAATACTATGTAATGACTTTGAGGTCAATTACATAGGTCAAACTAGTAGATCGGGGTCGATTGGATAATGGGGACATAGGAATTTGGCAACATCTAGAAGCACTGACCCTGCTAAGTTAAATAATCTGGAAGAAAGCTCAGCCATTGTAATCCATTCACTTGCATGTAATCACACAATAGGGTGAAGGTATTACAAAATAATCAGGTGGAGACAGGGGTTTATCACCAAATCTTTGCTCATCGAATCAGTAGCAAACACATGCAATCTAGATGAGGCAACATCTATACCGGATATATGGAGAATTTGCAATAAAAACACAACAGGAAGTAAGACTATACAAAGCGAGTTATCAAGTAGTGTAAATACATTGATATGATTGTGAGCAGTAAATTGTGCTTCAGTGATGAATGCTATATCACTATGTATTATACCAAATAAACTTATCTAATATGGAATTATATTCCATATTTTCAGAGTTACCGGTCGAGTCATGTGTAAGTTTTATTTTAATAAACTGACAAATAAGTTCAATGCATAATCTTATATAATAATTGATAGGAATCAACTTAAAACAGTAATCATTGTATGATTCATCCTGTGATCGGATGACTGTAAAATTTCATCGTTTTCTTATCTTGGTCTTGGTCAAATATCCAACCAATCAGAATATTTATTTTCTGCTGATCTGCCCAAATCGCCTACCAATCAGAACAATCTATTTTCACTACCTTAGGTCGATTCTAATGTGGTTAAAAATATATAAATATGATTTGCTTTTTCCTAATAAAAATTCTCTCCTAACAGTTATAGGCCAGTCTTTGTCTTTTGATATTTATGTTTCTCAGCGAAGCAGAAGATACCACGAACAAATAGGCGTATTAGGTAGTCTGATTTGTCCATCAAGACAATTTCGGAGCGTTTATCTGGTCGTGTGATGATCAAGTTTTCATTATCCTTCAGTTCTTTCAGCTGCTTTCGATGTTCTTTGGAAAGTACATTACGAAGGCTGGGTTTTTGTCGATGTAATATCCCCTAACTCACATACGATGAAACGACACACTCTGAATCACATCGATGCAGTCCGATCAGGACTACCTGAGCTGGAGCGAAATATCTCAGAAAGCTCCTCCGTTCTCTATGAATTATCTGAAGACGAAAGAACATCATTCGAAAACTACTCCAATACGGTTACAAAGAAAAGAACAGATGATGTTATAATGAAACTAAACCAAAGCCTAAAGTCCGTTACAAAAGAAACCGTCTTTCCTACTTGTCCAGGAAAGTACGTGTACAATTATTCTGATGTTCCACTATCTCCAATTCAAATGCAAATCTTAGCACTTGTGATGCAACGTCAAAAGTGAATGAACTGAACACGAAAATCCAATTCGAGAATTTAATCGACCAGACGAAAGATCTGGTCCCAATCTCATATGAGAATGCATACCCTTTCAAATCAACCGTTTTAAATTGCTGCCTCGATTACATCAACAAAAACTCAGCCCTCGTAACGTACTTTCCAAAGAACATCGAAAGCAGCTGAAAGAACTGAAGGATAATGAAAACTTGATCATCACACGACCAAATAAAGGCTCCGAAATAGGCGTATTTAACATATTAGTTGAGTTGTCCATTGAGTCAGTATTATTATACCCACGCATAAGTTCACTCAGTTATATCTACTGTCGACGTGATCATATCAAGTGACGACAGGTACGTAGCAAATTGCCGACATAGATCATAACAGTAATACAGTAGTATAGTATAGATATAACTTTACTGAGTTATTGTTATCATTCATTCAAAGCTGAATTCGTTTCCATTTGAACTACTGTTTAACAATTAAATCATTCAAATACTTAGGCGTTTCTAGTTAAAAATTTACAAAGTAAACAAAAATCTACCAAAGGCGGTGCCTTTCTAACTTCTTTGTACTGCAGAAGTCCTCGCCATATACATCGAAAAGCTGGAGCCATGTGTTCTAAAGAAACTAGTCCAGCCTCTACATTTACCATGGATCTGGTTCGGTTTGACTCCATAGTTTTCATTTTTTGTTTTTTCATTCCCTTCAATTTTCTTCATTTTCAGTCATAAAAACTATTATTTCACTTTATTTCCATGCTCATCCTGTTCGCACCTGTCTCCGTTATTGCTTCTTTTACACATTACGCAACTATTTTCTAATCCTGAGTAATTTTGTTTCTGAGCTACTTGTAATATATATTGACACCTTAGAACTTTCATATCAAATTGAAAATTATTACCACCTTTAATCTCATTCGTTATTATATGGAATTAAATAATAATTGTATCTGTGTGAACTACGATTTTACAGCTTTTGCAGATGAAATCGCCGAAAAGATATCTTTGCTGAACCTCTTGTTCTTTTCTCTTAAATATCCTGATAGGTATTTTCCATGATTTAGAAATTTCAGACTAAATCTCATTACGATATCTTTTTAGTATAAAGATCCGTGGTATAAAGCAAATATGTCATATTCTTTTTGTTTAGCAAACTTTTTAGTTTTTTTATTCATTGAATTATTCGCAGAAGCTTTTGGGGTTAGGCTGACAACCAAGTTGCGTAAACAAAGATAATGATTGAAGAGTTCAGAAAAGATTTTACTGATTGATAGTTCAGTTCTTCGATGGTTAAACTAGCTGTTATCATTAGTGTTATCCAACTTTGCAGACAAACTCTAACAGTTTTAGAAAAAGAATTATTCATATCTGTTGACCACTATACATTGCTTCTGGTTGCTCAAATCTATTTGTTTATTTTGATGCCTATGATAGTGATTACTCCCCTCTCTAACCGCGTAGTTTGAAATGGAAAAATAACATCGAGGTATAGATGAGCATTATTATTATTACTCGTTCCTTGCGTTCCGAGTGGAACATACGGTTTCAGCAGCACATTGCCATTTTAATTTTCTCTCTTTAGCTCTTTTGAGACAACCCTACGATTGCTCATCAGCTCTCATTTCTTTTTTACATGATCTCCTAAGTCATAGCCTCCCATTCGGATTCCACTCGAGAGCCTGCTGAGGGATGTAACTTAGCAGTCTCCTTAGTGTATTCCCAGTCCCTCCCCATTTCCTGTTACATACTTGTTGAGCGATAGGTTTTTGACTGGTTTGCTGCCCTCGTCAAGTCCCTGAAGTATACAGAAGCACTGACTTGATATCAGTGTTGAAAAATTCCGATCTTGTTTCCTGTTGTGAGTGCTGTAGATCTTCACACTGATTTCAGGGTAGTGAACGCTTGTCTTGTTTTGTCATCCTCATCTATGCCGTCCTTAATTGAAACGATGTTGCTTGATGAGTGGAAGAGACGACTTTCGTTAGATTTCTCTGATGGAAAGTGATTGTTGCTTGTTGTTATTGGTTGAATATCTTCATCACTTCTGTTTTCTCAATGTCTACTTGGAGTCCTGTCTTCACTGCTTCGGTAGATAGTGCAATATACAGAAAATATCTTTTTAACTAAAAGTAACCTACTATAAAGAGGATATGGATGTAGGGATATTAATCTTCAGTGTATTGGTCTTGTAAAAGTTAACTTTTGAAAGAGGGATAAATCCTAATGCTGTCAACAGTCAGGAGTTACCAACCGATTATACTCTACTGCCAACACACAAAGTTCTTTCATTCATTACCTACTCTCTTCATAATTTTTCCTGTTTCTCAAAGTTCATGACTTCCTCTCCTTTTCAGCAGTATAACAGTAAGACTCTTAATGACATTGTTACTCAGTCCCTATCATTATAATTCTTATTATTACCATTATGGCTGCTCGTCGCTTTCTTCGTTCTTCACGTATTTGCTGCCATTGAGTTTCAGCTTGTTTTAATAATTCTTTTAATTTTTTTTCTTCTTCAATCATTGATTCTTCTGGAACGTTCTGTAAGAATAATAATTTTAAAAGAAGGTAAGTACGATAATACTTGACAAAGAGAAAACTCGCCTAGTTTACTAGCTTGCTAGTTTTCTAGCCGGTCCCAAGCCCGTGTAAAGAAGGAAGGTTGGGCGTGGGGCTAGAGACCCTACACCATAAAAGCTATCAAACTGCTAGAGAAACTTCAACACACAAGAAAAATATTAAAAAATACAAAGAATATAAAAGACACACTTATTCTTCGCTGGAATCAGAGAGGCGAAATGACACAGAGGGCTGGTGAAAGCCTTCGGGAAGCCAGTCAGCCAGCCAATGTCTTCTCTCGATGAAAGCAAGAATAAGAATGAGGACGTGGAATGTCCGTACAATGTGCGAAGCCAGCTCGAAAGGCTGTCCAAGTAGCCAACGAAATGCGAAGATATGGTATAGAAGTCCCGGGTATCTGCAAAAGCAGATGGAACGGATGTGGATTATCCAAATTGTCAACTGGTGAGTCAGTAATCTACTCCGGTCTGGTCACCCAGACGACAACCACGAACACACTGAGGCAGTGAGTGGCTATAATGATGTCACCAGTGGCAGCCAGAGCCCTAATACAGTGGGAACCAGTTTCATCCTGCAGGATTATGACAGCAAGATTCAACTCAAAAGGAAGGGAGGAAGGTCACACAGCGCTACAAACAACGTGGAACAAGACAAGAAGGAAGATTTATATAGACAACTACAAACAGTAGTGGGTAACATCCCGAATATTATTATTATTGTTCCCTTGGGTTCCTAGTGGAACATAGGGCTTCAACTACACGTCTCCACTTGTTTCTGTCTTCTGCTGTACTTTTCACATGCATCCATGTCAATCCATACTGTTTCAACTCTTCTTCACACGATCTCCTCCATGTCACCCTTGCACCGACGAACCACTCGCCGCTTCCCTTTCGGGTTCCACTCGAGCACTGGCCTGACGCGCGATGTCACCCAGCGGCCTCCTCAGCTCAGCGAGTGTCCAATCCATCTCCACTTTCTCCTGCATATTTGTTGGGCGATTGGTTCTTGTTTTGTTTGTTCCCATAGTTTCTTGCTGGTGATTCTTTCCGGCCATCTGATCTTCAGTATAGAACGAAGACAGCTGTTGATAAAGGTCTGCAACAGGCTGTTGGAAATATTCTTTGTGACACACGCCAAGTTTCTGATCCGTACGTATAGAAGAACAGACTGACTTGACGTTTGTATTGAAAATCCGAATTTTGTTGTTGATGCTGAGTGACAGCGGAAGATTTCCAGATTGGTTTCAGGTTGATGAATGTGTTTCTCGCCTTCCCGATTCTCGATTTGACATCCTCGTCCGTTCCTCCTGTAGTTGAGACAATGCTCCCTAGATAAGTGAATGAAGTAACCTCCTTCAAATCCCTCCCGTTGATGGTGATTGGTGCTGGATGTTGCTGCTGTTATTGTTGTTGTTGGTTGGTTGGTTATTTTCATGACCTCCGTCTTGTCTATTTTCACCTGGAGTCCTGTCTTTGCTGCTTCTTCGACCAACCAGTTTGTCGGTTTTCGCTTGTAAGTCTTCGATTTTGTGTGACATCAAACATAAATCATCCACGCGCGAAATCCAGGTCTTCTAGGTTCTTCACGTCCGTCCAGGATATCCCTGTCTCCTCGTTTCCCACTCTCTGACGCATAATCCAGTCCACCACAATTAGGAATATTATTGGTGATAACAAGCACCCTTGTCTGACTCCTGTGTTTACTCCAAACGCCTCGCTGAGTTTTCCGTTGTGGATCACTTGACATTTGCTGTTGTCTTATAGCTGTTGAATAAGGTTGATGAATATTTGGGGTACACCGTAGTACTTGAGTAGTTTCCAAATTACTTCGCGGTCAACGCTGTCGAAGGCCTTCTCAAAGTCTATGAAGTTGAGGTAGAGGTTTGATTGTCATTCCATGCTTTGTTCTGTGATGATGATGCGTAGAGTTGCAATTTGGTCAGAACATGATTTGCCTTTCCTGAATCCAGCTTGTTCTGGTCGGAGTTCTGTATCCAGTGCGTCCTTGATTCTCTCCAGGATGATGCGACTCAGGATTTTACTTGGTGTCGACAGGAGTATGATTCCTCGCCAATTCTTGCAGAGTCCTAAGTCGCTCCTCTTTGGTAGTTTCACGAGGTAACCTTTCCTCCTGTCAGTAGGCACCTTTCCCTCTTTCCAGATCTTTTGCAATAATGGAGTCAGCATATCTGCTGCCGTTTCTGGGTCCGCTTTCAGTGCTTCCGGGGGTATTCCATCTAGTCCAGCTGCTTTTCCAGCTTTCAGAAGCTTGATTGCACTCATGACTTCAGTTTTCGTTGGAGGATTGGTGTCAACTTGAACATCCCGAATGGTGACATCAAAATCCTTATGGGCGATATGAATACCTGCTGACTGGGAGCAGATAATACAGGAATAGAACTCATCACGGGTTGACAGACTCTTGGTGAGATGAATGGTAATGGAGAACTCTTCACAGACTTCTGCGCCTCCAATGATTTGGTGATTATAGGGAGAGTGTACAAGCACAAGAATATGCACAAAGCATCATGGATTTCACCTGACGGATACAACACAAACACGATAGATTTCATCTCAATGTTGCTCAAGGAATTGGAACGCAGCCTGCTGGATACAAAGTCGAGAAGGGGAGCAGATGTGGGCTCAGACAATGATCTAGTTCAAGGAACCTTCAAGGTGAAGCTGAAATCCCTGAAAACAACTGGAGAAACTTCACAATTCAGTTTCAACACTCAGAAAGTGAAGGACAAAATTACAAAAGATACCGTTCACTACAGATCGGATCAGAACAAAGTCGAAGACACTACGTCGCATCACCCAGGGAACCTGTGTGGTAGAAAATTGGAACAGTCTGAAGGTGATGTCATTCGAAGAAAGTCGAAGCTAATAGAAGAGAGGAGGATGGTGGAACAGATGATGAACTAATCCAAAGATGGATGTACATCAGTTCAGTGTACACTGCACTGAATAAAGAAGTGAATAAAAGTGCTAGGAAAGACAAAATACAGTTCTACGACACATTGGCAACTGAAGCATAACAGGCACGCCACAGGTAACAGAGACCTCAGAACATTATATCAGATAACCAGGCTGCTTGCTATCCGAGAAGAGATCAGCGCAGGTGAAACCTATAAAAGATGTTTTAGGGAACCTAGGAGGAGACAAATAAAACAATAGGCTGATCACTACAAAATACTCTTGAATTGATCACCACATGCAACTCATCCAGGAATCACACCTCCACCATCAGCAGGCACAGAAGTGCCTAGCAGTGGACACTAATCCTTCAACGAACGAAAGCATAAATCCTGAATGTGATCAAGTTACTGAAGTCCGGCTGGGAATGCAGCAGAGCCAAACAGAATTCCCGCTTAAGTACTGAAAGCGGGTCCTGAGACTACGGTAGATGTGCTCACGCCATTATTGCCAAAGGTTTGGAAGGAAAGAAAGGTACCTACCAATTGGAAGAAACGCTGGCTACCAAAGAGGGGCGATTTAGGCCTGTGCAAGAAGTGGCATGGAATAATGCTCTTGTAAAATACTAAGTCGCATCATCCTGGAGAGAATAAAGGATGCACTGGATGCAGAACTCCGCCTCACCGACCAGAACAAGCTAGATTCTGGAAAGGCAAAGCATGTGCTGATCAAATTGCAACTCTACGCATCGTCATCACAGAACATAGCATAGAATGGCAGTCAAACCTCTCTCTACCTCAACTTCATCGACTTCGCAAAGGCCTTCACCAGACAGCGTTGACCGAGACGTAATTTGGAAACTATTTCAACACTACGGCGTGTAGTACTCAAGTCCTTATCAACCTCATTAACAGCTGGCTATATGACAATGCCACGTATCAGTCAGGCGATCCACAACGTAAAACTCAGTGAGGCGTTCGAAGTGAATACAGGAGTACGACAAGGCTGCCTATTTTCACCTCGGATGATATTGTGAATTATGATGGACTGAATTATGCATCAGACCGTCCACATGAAGTGAGAAGACAGCAATACGTTGGATGACCGATAAGAAGACTCTAGAGGATCTGCATTTCGCGTGTGGATGACTTATGTTCAATGTCACACAGACTTGAAGATTCGCAGGCGAAAACCAACAAACTGTCAGAAGAGGCAGACAGCGACGACAGAACTCCAGGTGAATATAGAGAAGACGGAGGTGATGAAGATAACCAACCAACAGCAACAACAATAACAACCAGCACCAGTCACCATCAACGGGAGAGATTTGATAGACGTCACTTCCTTCACTTATCTAGGGAGCCAGCATCGTTTCAACCACAGGCAGTCGGAACGGATGAAGATGTCAAAGCTAGGCAGAATCAGAAAGGCAAGATACGCCTTCATCAATCTGAAATCAGTTTGGAAATCTTCTGCACTAACTCAACATGAAGAAGAAGATTCGGATTTTCAACACCAATGTCAAGTCAGTCAGTTCTTCTATATGGGTCAGAAACCTGCACTGCGCATCAAAAAAAGCATTTCCAACACGCGACTGCAGATTTTGATCAACAGCTGCCTTCTCTGGCTCCATCCTGAAGATCAAATGGCCCCCGGCCAGAAAGAATTAGCTACAAGAAACTCTGGCAACAAACCAACCAGGAGCCTTTCGCTCATCAAATATGTAGGAGGAAATGGAGATGGGTCGAGTATACATCGAGGAAACCGCCGAATAATATAGCGTGCCAGGCCAGCCCTCGAGTGGAATCCAAGTGGAAAGCGACGATTGGGTCGTCAGTGTGAGGGTGATTTGGAGGAGATCGTGTGGGGAGGAAGCGATGAGAGAGTATGGGCGATCGTTGACCAAGCTGAAGAGGATGGCAGAAAATAGAAGAAAGTGAAGATGTGTTGTTGAAGCCCTATATTCCACTTGGAACCCAAGGGAATAATAATAACAAAGAGAAGTAGCTTTAAGTTGTTTTGTAAACGAAGTCTTCAGATGTCACACGTTTAGTCTCATTCTGTTGTCTGACTAAGTATATGAGAACTTTGTATTTTCTACAGAAGCAATGTAAAAGAAAAATTCACTTAGATGATTTATGATGAAATTGATTTTCTTAGTTTTCACTTTATATCACTGGTAATGCACATTAGTAGCTCATTATAAGATCAAGTTAATGAGTAAGAAGTATCATGTCGAGGACATTCGAATTTCGCCGATTCCAGCTGAATTGCAATATAACTCCAATTCAGTAGATAAAACATATTAAAAGCGATTTTTTCTAACAGAATTGTTTCGTTATAATAATGATTTGTTAGTAGCTAGCAGTGAAATAGAGAAAGCATGTTTCGTCCAACTTGAGACCTGTCAACTAAGTGTTGATGTTATAATCACTGACGGATTACTGGACACTTTAAATACTACAATGTTGTCTACCATGTCAGTGAGTTATAAGACTTTTTAAAAAATTTTTATGTTTTCAATTTACACGAATGAATTCATCAGTCTTTGCCATTACATGTCAAATGCTTTTATAGACACCTTGATATTGTCGTACATCTAACATTTTGACAACTTTACTAATTTAGTTTATTTAAAGTTAATCATTTTTATAGGTAGTACTTTAAAGTTCGTGTTCATGTAAGACCTAGATAGTATTTATACTATTCACGGTTGGTTGGCCAGCGATTACCATGGGAGCAAATTAAATCTGCTCTCTCTCTCTCTCTCTCTATATATATATATATATCACACCATTGTAGCGCTTTTTATTTTGTGTTAAACATTCATCAGCAAGGTGTATCTTCAATCTTTCCTTCGGAATTAGAACCTGTGTCACTTCATAATGAAACCAGAGTCCCTTTCAGGAAATCATTGTCTCCAAGACTGATCCCTTGTAGAAACTATAAAACACCATGCTGTTTCAATGCTACCGGCTCATTAGTACTGCCATTTTTTTTCGTATTTGTTGTGGCAAATACTATTTATTGAATGAAACAATCACTGGTTATGTGGATAGCAGTGATGGGTGTAAACTTACAATCTCACCAAGTGATATACATGAATTGCTTTATATCATAGGCAATAAACAATATTAAAAAAAATAAAATTCTGTCTAATGATCTGTTGAATTACTCTTCATTGATAAGGATATGATGTGCTTTGATTAGACACTAGTAACTAGTGTTGTGTGTCTAGTCCTTTCTTTGGCGCAGACTGAATTCTATCAGTCAGCCAGAGTAGCTCAGTGGTAACGTCTCTGACTGCAGCAGTGGGGGACGTGGGTTTGAGCCTCAGAAGGGACATGAGTTCCTTCAAGGTTGCAGATACGCCTTGCTGGCTGGTGAGTGCCAACTAGCACGAAACCTAGATCCAAGGCTTCCTGCTGATTGCCTTCAACCATCTAGTATCATATGATGTGTTTAACAAGCAAACATCTGTCATCCAAAATTATAAGAGTAAAAAGGCGATTTGATGGAACTGTGTCACTTTTTTTCTGTACAAACCAGTGGATAACTTTAATTCACTGAAATCTTTCTTCAAATGTCATAGCATTTTCAATCACACTGTATGTTTAATTTAACAAAGAAAACATGAACTAATAATTTGAAGATATTAATAGATTTACTTTAGGTAAAGCTATTCTTGCCATTTCATTCAATGAATTCATAACTAGAACTGTATTCTCCAGTGCTCTTAATTCTTCTTCAGCTGTACGGACTTCAATGTCTAAGTCATCTCCTTTTTGTCTTAATTCTTGACGTTGACTTAATGCCTAGAATGATTTTTAGATAAAAATGTTAATATCTGTTATACTGAAAAGTGTTCATTAGTTGTAACAGTAGTATTCATTAAGATATATATATATAATAGTTCTTAGTATACTATTAATAAAACTAGCGTCGCTGGTACAGCGGTAGGATGCTTGCCAACGACACATGTAGACTGGGGTTCGATTCCCGGACGACGCACACCTTTACCTCACTAAGCCAGTAATAAGGCTGGTAAAGAGGGAGAATTGGGCATGAGGCTAGTAACCCGGCTCTGTGAAAGTAAGCACCACTGCTACCGAAACTTCAAGCCTGTAGCTTGAAGCCCTATGTTCCACTTGGACCGTAGAGGAATAAAAAAAATAACTAATAAAGCTGAAGTATCTTAAAAGGAATTTCTCCTTAAATTGAGAAATAAAAGTGATATATTAATTTTCTGGCTTCATGTCAGATTCTTAGATGAGTATAAGCATTCATAACTGTGTTATTTTTCCATCGATAATATGGTCATTTGTATGCTTGGTCTAATGCATATATGTGTCATTTGAATAATGTAGATCTCCATAAAAGTAAAAATTAAAGAATCTATATACTACCGACTGGTCGGTATGGCCGGTAAAATGGTCGTCTGGTGTGTCTGGATCACTTCGGTCTCGCTAGCAAGCACTACTGGTTGATATGTATGAATGGTACCCAACTACTCATATCAATCAATAAGTAGTATATAGTATCATGCAATTATGTTTGCTTTCTTGATCGCTCTTTACGGTATCAAAGAGATCACATATTGTGATCTAAATAATTTCGGTTTTCAAAGGAAACTGTAATGGAATTTCACCTCGAACTGTATAGACTGCAAATTGTGAATTTGATTCAAGAAATTGATGAAAACTGAAAACGAATCAATTCTGAATCATATTATCGGTTGTCTGAAGTCACTGGCATTTAACGTTCTGCAGGATATAACGAGATTTGTTTGCTACATGCTACTTACATGCTTTTCTTTTACGCTAAGTGATTTTGTGCATGGTCAACATGTATTGATCTGTTCACAACTCTTTTTTGTTTCAATATAGAAAAATCCCCATTTAGACATTTAGAAAACAGAAAGATTGAGCGAAGAAATATTTACTTTTCAATTAGATCCTCATCTCTGGCTCTACTCTAATATATATAGCATTTTTATTGCAATACACAACAATTTACCAATCAAATGGCGATATGTTTGTTTGTTTTCCACTTGAAATCCATCTATCAATACATATGGGAATGTGCAGTAATCCAGTCGAATTTTACAACTATCTACTAAATTACCTGTTTTCCCGGGGATTCCATATCCGAAATCACTGTCTGAGTGTTGTATGGGTTGCACTATCTCCCCTTAAGACCGTAGTTGCTAATATCCTTGAATACTGTTGTTATTAAGGAAAGACTAAATGAATCGGGTGTAATAAAGCGACAATTCAGCGTTTAATAAATACTATCTAGTTATTCGCAAGATATTTGATATAGTTGTGTGTAACGATGTATTTTGAAAGAATTGGAAATGCTTTAATAACCCTAATGACAGCCTAAAGTCATATAGGAAGCTGCATAGCCTTCAGTCACCTTCATATGATTATTCCATTTGTTTAATTGGTTGGAGGATTTCATCATGAGCTGACATCAGTTAGAGGACCATTGGAAAACCTGCAGGGAGTACTGGACAGCTGTTTCGTCCTAGTTATCCAATACTCCCTGCAGGTTTTCCAATGGTCCTCTAACTGATATCAGCTCATGATGAAATCCTCTAACCAATTAAACAAAATCCCTACGAAACCAATGCTTGAAAATATTCCATTTGTTACATCAAAATCTGTCTATTGTGACACCATTCTATTTTATTTGCTTCTTCGAACTTTGATAAGTTGAAGTGATGCTATTTTATGCTAAATTCTACACTGATCCGTCAGTCAGTCGATCAGAAGGACAACTGACTCATTTCACTAATGACAACAATTAAAAAACATTTTTATTCTTATTTGGTTTTTGCAATAAATAGATTATTCCTTTAAAATAAATCTAAGTTCTGAAAATATGGAAATTTCCAATACTACTACTAGTCATAAAATGTTATATTTTTGATCTTTGAACTGCTCACCTCTAAAATATATCTCATTCGACAGCCTACTTCATTTTCTACATTTTTACCCAGTGTAATCAACATGACTTCATATCTAATTAACGAAGAAATAGATAGTAGTAAAATAAACAGTTTTAATCCACAGTCGTCAAATATTAAAAAAAAACTGAGGTTATACTTCTTTAAACTGTTCACTGTTCCAGCCCTTCATCCTTTTTTTTATTGCACATTGAACGAATTCACCGTCAGTTTTCTTAACTCAAACTGTGGTGTGTGCTGCTGACAAGATTTATCAGTAGTATGTAAAGAGGCGTTCATCGGAAATACATCAAATAGCAAGGGTAGACAGATTTGATGTCAGAGAAAGCAAATGATACAGCGTTGCAGAGATACATGAAAGAAGTGAAAGGAACACAAAGAAAAGACAATATGAAGAAAGGCGAAAAGCAGCACAACACGGAAGATCTGTGCAAATGGTGCGTTGAAGATAAGGTGTACAAAATTTCGCTATAGAGAAATACCGAATTCCAGTCAGTAGGAGGTCTTCACATCCAAGAAGCTGATGGAACTCATGGGCATCAAAGACTGGAGGTATTGTGAACAGGTCACTGTATTTATAGACGTTAACACTGAGCTGTTCAGCTTCCCTACTGATTGCCTTCAATATGATGATAATAATAATAATTTAGTCACCTGACAATCTACTGGGTTTGAACCCCGGTGGGTGCGTATTGATGAAGAGTCCCGAACTAGACTGACGAAACAGCTGTCCATTATTCCAAGGTTTTCCAATGGTTCTGTAACCGATGTCAGCTCATTATGAAATCCTGTAACGAATCTACTGTTTATTAGTTTTCTACTACAGTCTAAAATACTGCTTAACGCATAAATGTACAGTTTAATAATTTAAAAATGAATTATTTTCAATGCATAGATGTTGCATTTAGTGGTATCAGTAACTGTTATGCTTTGGAGCACAAAACAGGTGTTTCAGTCCATCAGACGTACCATCTTTGAAAGTAACATATAACCATTGAAATAAAGTGCATAGAAATAAGCTTTAATGAGTAATTTATTACATGCATTTTAGTAAAAATTAATGATTTTCAGAATTTATTCCGGAGCATACAATTAACTGTTCAGATGTAAATAGATATTTATTTGACTGTGATAATATCTGAGATGATCTTGGGTTGGCAGACGGCCATTGATTTAGTGGATGATGATTTAAGGTAAAACGACTATCTGAGATAGTCATATCATCAGTTGACATCCTATTTCTGTCCTTCTCATTCAGTTAGATGATGACTGACTGACTGAAGAAGACCTAGTTAGGCAGCTAGTGTGAAGATATTCTGATGGTAACATGTCATTTATTAGTGTGAAAGTTAAGCAATACCCGTGATGGTTGCAGTGAAATAATGACACAGTCACTAGTAGGTTCTCGTAGCTTAGTTGGTGGAGTGCCAGACTAGTAATTTGCAGACCACTGGTTCGAATCCTGCCTTTTTCCAGATTTTTATTTCATCTTCAAACATCACCTACTACATGTTAATTTGTTTGGGAAAGATAACAAAATCTCTACAGGATTAATCAGAAAGCTTCTAATTGGTTGATCTAAATTTCCAATTTGTCATAAAGGATTTCTGTTACAAGATTTCCTGCTTCATCGAGTTGTTTCCAGAACATTTGAATGAAGATTTCAATCATGTGAGAAAAATAAACGCGAGACTATTTTGTTAATTATATTGTTGTTATGTTTTTCTGAGAATATTTCATCAACTTAATACACGTTTTTATCAGTCACTTGTTGTGGTTGTTTGCTGGAGGCGAATAGTAACATTCTGTTCCATCATAGAATAATTTTATTTGTGAAAAAATACACACTGATAAAGGATTATTTACTGATCATGTTTCTAGAGCAATTTATGACTCATAATTATATCAAGGCACTTACATAACTTTATGAATTCCTTGATATAATTCTACTGTTTCTTATCCTTTGATTTTATTGGCAGTAATATTTTCCATATCTACTGGTATTGGCATTGCCTCATTCCTATTGTATATGTTAGGTGTAGATGCAGACTTCCGTGTTGGGGCCCTCGGGACTCTAAGAATCAATGGCTGGAGACAATATGTGACATGGCTCAAAATCGTTGTCAATGGCGCAGATGTATTCAGTCTCTGTAATCTTTCATATTCCTTTCTACCATTACTCATTCTGTTTCACTCTTATACTTGTCAAAACTCTATTGATTCTCTTCACTCATTTTGTTGTCTACCTTTGTGTGCTATTTGGAACGTGGCAACTCGAACTGCTGCAGTTCGGTGCCAAGTTCTATGTTGAATCCAGCCAGCCAGCCAGCCAGGTGTAGATTTGATGAAGAATGATTCAATGAGCAACCCCTCCCTACAGCTGCCTGAATTATTTTTTAGAACTGTAGCGCTGTCCCACCCTATTGTATGATTTATGTCAGTGTATGCACTGTGATTGCTGAGTGTTTCTCTAATAAATAATAATACGGTATCACTCTGTTTTTATCAAATAAAATCACTCTATGATAGAATTATACTATACCACAGTGCCGAAATTCTATTTTTATATCAATGTCCACTTCTCATTTGGACATTTAGAGACAAAATGTACTCAATGTCTTCGTAACAATTCGTAATAAAATAAACCTTTACTAGAACGTATAAATGTGCGTCGGCGTCACAGTGGTAGAATGTTCGCCAACCACACATGTGACTAAAGGGTTCGATCCCCGGGCGACGCACACCTTTACCTCACTAAGTCAGTAGTAACACTGGTAAAGAAGGACGACTGGACATGAAGCTAGTAGCCCCGCTCCGTGAAAGTAAGCACCACTGCTACCGGAACTTCAAGCCTTTAGCTTGAATTCCTGTGTTCCACTGGAAACGTAAAGGAATAAAATAAAAATAATAAATAAAGAACGTATAAATACTATGCCTAACAGGTTACAGTGTAGTCGAAGATTAGTATTTCTGCACGTGAATTCTGTAGGAGTGTTTTTTATCAGGGCGAGGCAGTTACTTATAGAAGTGTAAATCTGCTGTTCCACATTATACAGGACCACTGAGATTTCCAAGGACTGTAATCAGTTGTATTGTGCACTTAACACCTAATAATTGCTATTTATTACATATTAGCAAGTGCTGGTTTGAAGGGACTTAATTGGTCACATGTTTGGTCACGAGTTGACATCATTTAGAGAACCACTGAAAAACCAGTAATTAGTGGACAGCTGTTTCGTCCTACTTTGAAACTCTTCGGCAGTACGCATCCAGGAGAGTTCGAACCCACAACCTTTCGGTTGCAAGGCGGGCTCGTCGACTATTCAGATACTGGGACCCAATCCAGTACATATACAAAACACTTAAAATATGAACAGAATGTTACCTTCAGTTACCTCAATACATATTTCTTCTTATTACAGTGAAGTTAAGTGATTCAGGGATTAACCGATTTCAAGAAACACCTGTCCAGTACCCTCTAGCTTTTCAGTGGTTCTCTTACTGTTGTTGATAGGTGATGAAATCGAAGAAAATTTTTTCATCAAAACATTGCCCTTCTCTTGTATAATAGTACAAAGGACCATGAATTTATTGTCTCTGTGTTCCTTTTAATGTGGTAGTCTTATGAACTGAAAAGTTCTATATACATTAATACGCATATAATATATACTCCGTAGTTCTAGTACAACTTGCTGGAACAAAGATTTCTTGAAAATAACAAATGTACGATCAGAAAATTTATCAACCAACCTTGATTTCACGTGACATAAACGGGCTTGACGTTTATTAAAATCTTTGCGTATTTCTTCTAAGTTTGCGTTAAGCAAGTGTAATTCTGATAATAAATTTGTCTTCCGCATGTTTATTTCTGCTTCAATTTCTCTTTCTAAAGCATCCATTTGTAGCTGCCGAGTTTCTGAATTCATAATTGAATCTCGTAACATTTTCAGTTTATTATCCATTCGACGAACCTTAAATGAATTTTTACCAATAAGTACCATTAATTAATTTACTGAAGAGCAATATAGAAAACTATTTAAATAGATTAATATTATTGGTTATTACTCCTCCATTGAGTTCGTGGTGGAACATAGAACTTCGGCAGCACATTTCCACTCCACCTATCTTCTACATTCATTACTACCTAGCTAGCTCCATGATTGTCTATAAGCTTTCATTGCCTGCTTACACGACCTCTCCCTGATCATTCTCGGATCTACATCTAATTCATTGCTTTCCATTCGCATTCCACTTGAGTTGACTGAAACCAGATGATATGTTGCTACGTTATTCAAATACACTAGGATAAACGTGTCCAAATACTAGTTCATTCATGATTCTGTGTTTTCAATGACTTTTCTTGATCTTCCCTAGGAATGTATCATCCGTTCAAGTTGGTCAGCCTGAGTAGACATTACTCCATTATATGTTAATTTTGTTTTGATAAAGTCTTACAGTGTTATACAGTAATGTTTACTGATAAACAGTAAACATTACTGTATAACACTGTAAGACTTTATCAAAACAAAATTTGCCCATAATGGAATTACACTCTACCACAGTGCAGTTGAAGCCCTATGTTTCACTAGGAACCCAAGGGAACAATAAATAATAATAAATACAGTGCACAAGTTTTATTCTTATATCAATGAGTAGACATTACTCTCGATAGATTATGGATTTCTGTAGGAATTTGGATTAATTTAAATGTAGATTTCATCACCAGCCAATATCAGTTAGAGAATTATTGAAAACCAGGGAGTACTGGATAGCTGTATCCACCATATTTGGGACTTTTTATCAGTATACACCTCTGACTTCACAGAGGATGGAACCCAGGACTTTCAGCCTGCGAAACAGACAGATGTTGAAAATCCAGCCATTGGTCGGTATTCAACTGACAGAAGTTAGAATTCACAAGTGACTGAATACCGATCCACTGGTTGAATGGTCAACGGGCAAGCTTTGTAGACTGAATTTCCTGGGTTCGATCTCTGACGGGGTTGTGGATGTTCAACGCTGAAGACTTTCGAACTGGTTTCAATGATTCTTTAACTGATGTTGGTTCGTGACGAAATCTTCACTGAAATAAATTAGTTGTTATTGTTGATGATCTCATGCAATTCGTTAATTTACCTTAACCATTTTCATAAGTGCTGCTCCTATAAAATTCATTCTGGTTACGTTTTTACTGATTTGTTGGTTTAACTTCTATTTTGTGATTACTAAAGTTTCCATGTAGAAAGGAATTATTCCCATAGGTTGACTTGTTTAAATTTGATGTAAAGAATTTCAACCTTATCGCTAATGTTATCACTTATGAAAACTATGAAGATTTAATCTTCTGTTAATCAGTGATATAAAACATTATGAAGTTTTCTATTAATAATAATAATAATAGTAAGGTAAAGAAAATTATCATAATGTGCTAGTTTATGGAGAACTTTATATTACGCATCAAAATAAAGAGAAGAATCCACTAACAGGACAACTACACTATAACAGGTAAGTTGAACTGAAAACATCCGGGGATAATGTGAATAATTTTTTTATTCTGTGAAAATAGATGGTAAATCAGTTCATGTCATACAAATAATTTCAATTTTAAATCCCACGTTTGTGGAAGAAAAACATAAAAAGCTTGATAGTGAATGGAAATAGAGCAATGTACTGTTAATACCTGATGTAACCATTTGTTTATCACTGGTTCAGTGGTGGAGTGCTGACGAACTACGCACATGGTTCGGGTTCGACACCCGGATGACGTTCCCCTAAACTCTGTCTAGTTTACTAACCGATTACAAGTTTAACCTCTAAGAACAAACACTACTGCTGAAACATTAAAGCTTGAAGCCCTCTGTTCCATTCAGAAAGCAAGCAATGAAAGGAATACTAATGGATACAAGCAATCATTTAGAATATATGAACTGTGTATAAGTTGTTAAATGATATTTAGTTAAATGAGGTTTATATGAAATAAAGTGCGGCGTTTGGATTCTTTATAACTGGTTGATTAAATATTGAATGAGTAAAGGTAATTTCCTTATGATTTGAAGTCAGATGGACAGGTATTTCATCCTTGTTTGTAAATCTTTGGCAGTGGACATATATTTCTTTGCAAAAGATCTTGCTTACTACTGCCAGCTTAGAGAACTATTGAATTATGACTCCATATCAACTAGTTAACGATATAGTCCTTATAATATCATCTTGACATTTGATAATTGTATATAATACAATTCTAGTTTGGGTAACTTACGACTTAATAAATTTTATGGAAACTTAGTGATCATTACAAGATACTTTGTATCATTTACGATTCCTACTATTAAAGTTCTGAGAAAAACGTTTTTCTGTCAGCATACAGTAGATCCATCATATGTATGTACGGATAATTAAGTTAAAGGAAATGGAGATTGATTGGACGTACACTGAGGAGACCTTTGAGCGTCATCATGTGCCAAACCCTCAAGTGGAACTCGAATGTGAAACTACTAGTTGATCATCCGAAGGTGACATTGAGAAGGAAATGAAAGCATATGGGCAATTGTGGAGTAAGCTAAGAGACCGCAGAGAGCAGAGAGAAATGGAGAAGTGCTGCTGAAACCTTTCGTTTAACTTGGAACCTAAGAGAATAATATATATACATATATATAATTAGATGGTTAGAGGCAATCAACAGGAAGCCTTGAATCTAGGTTACGCGCTAGTTGGCACTCATCAGTCAGCAAGGCGTATCTACAACCTTGAAGGAACTAATGTCCCCTTCTGAGATTCGAACCCGTGCCACCTAGTGGTGCTGTCAGAGACGTTACTGCTGAGCTATTCGGGTTCGTGATTGACCTCCTACTTTGATTGAACACTAGGTAGTGAGTTACTGGTGTTGTGCATCTAGTACTTTGTTTGGTACAGACTAAATTCTATCAGTCAAGCCACCTAGAATGGTGTCCACATTGCAAACTTGACTGATAGAATTCAGTCAGCACAGGAAAAAAGACTAGATACATGGTACCAGTTACTTACTGCCTAGTGTTCAATCGAAGTCTAATCCTGTCCATTTCTCTAACCTTCCATCATTTTATTCTCATAATTGATTTTTCAAAAACTCATTCTTGAACATACATTTGAATTATATACCTACCTGAAATTTGTTTAAATTAAGGGTAACTAAAAGTTCTTGTTTCTCTGCTTCAACTTTTTTCAATGCAATCAATGTGTTTTTTACTGTTAAATGCGTTGTATTCAATAAATTTTCAACAGTATTTAATTGTGATTGTAATTTATCACATTTCATTTGACAAATACGTTTTTCATTCTATGAAGAGAAATATATACAAATATAAACTGTAATGCCAACCACTTTATCATTTGAAATCTATTATAATATCAAAGGAAAGTAGAAATAAAATTGATCACTATACAAGAATTCCCTTTTATAAATTTGAGCAAAGAAAGAACAAACATTGGTGCAGAATAACATGCATCCATTTTATTTCGTTGGTTCTCATCAGCTGCATACAACCCATTATCTTTAATAAATAAAAGTCAGCGTAAAATTTAACATACTTCTGTCATCAGCAAGTATATTATAAGAGTGTCATGGTGATGTAAAACATCGGGACGACAAGGCAGCTGAAGTGTAAGTATATATATATATATATATATATATATATCTTGTAATAGAGAAATTCCTAGAAAAGTAAGTGACAAGTTTGTTGTTAGGATGGTAACAAAAAATTAATAACAATTATGTAGTTAGATAAGAGAAGATCAAAAGTTAGCATGCAAGAGGTCAAATAAAAAGATGATGATGTAATATTGTGAGTAGAATTCATAAGGTCAAGAAGAATTATCTCTTATGGAAGCCAAACAGGAGAAATGAGGCGAGAGGAGGGGGCGTTGGAAGGATAATTTAATGAAGTCAGAAGACTGAGAATTATTAAGGGATGAGTCACCTGGGCAACTGGAGTTCAACGATAGATTCCTTTTAGGCCCAAAGGTTAGGTTTCAGCCATTTTATTGCTATATCCTCAGCAAACCAAAGAAGACTTCAGCTTTTTTCTCTGTTAATTATTTTGAATGATGCCGGCGTGTCTACTCGGTGCCCAGTGTCTATCAGATGTTTGGTAACTGGAGAGAACTACTCGGCCCCTTTAACCGGAAGCTCCTTGGTAAATTATATCTGTAGATAAGAAAACTTCAATACTGGATGAAGTGATTTTAAATCTCAAAGGGTAAATAGGTTTTTGCAAAGCTTCGGACACACTTTGGAAATACAGATCAATAAGCATGAAGCCTACATCCAAGACAACATGCTGATCAACTTTCAAGATTTCAAAATAAACAAGAATAATGAAACTGGAGCAAAATATTCATGAGACATATCACGACATATAGATATAAATAAAAAATCGATTAAACTACTTTGTCCTCTATTTCCTATGAAGGTTAAAATCTAAGATAGTTCATATAGTTGTAGTAGTTTTTTGGTGTGTTCTACTGATAGGAATTTATAAGTAGTATATTGTATAAAGTCTTCTACAAAATTCCTGATCAAAGAAGCGATAAACAAAGTGAAAAACAGGATTAATGACGGAATGAAGTGAAAGGACCAGGACACGAATACTTTGTGTAAATTAGGATTTCAATGTATAGTTGTCCTATGGTAGAATGCTTACCAGCAGCGTATCAAGCTGAGGCACTTCTGAACCTCGCCTAGTTTACTGGCTCAGAAAAGAGAAGAGGTTGGGCATGAGGCTAGCAAGCCCACTTCGTAAAAAACAATACCACTGATAACAAAAATTTAAGCTTGAATCCATGTGTTACACGCAAGATGTAAAGAAATGCAATGAAAAATGTAATTTCTGCCTGGTGTTTGAAATCTATGAATTCTTCTTTATCCTAATACATCTTTTTGTCAGTAATACTATTCCTGTTGTTTTATTATCATCATAGCTTAGTCTAATATACAAGTGAATTAAATTCATTAAAATTCGTCTAACTTTCCCGAATTTGACCTTATGTATTAATTGATATTATATCACTCTTAGCATAAATTAACTTGTACTTCTATCCACAGTCATTTATCGCCTATTTCACTGTTTTTCCACTCACATAGCTGATGTTTATTTAAGTTTCAGAGAAACTTTTTTCATTGTCTTTTCTCATTGTTAGGACTTTCTTAAAGTGATCTAATTTAGTTACCAACTGACTTCATTCGAGGAGTTAACGAAAATCCTGAGACAGTTAAAAGTTGAGATGTCTCATTCTAGGGCATTGTGTGGAACGTAAGTTGATGACTTCAGGTAGCAAGGTGATACATACATAATCCTATTCAAGTCCAGATGTGTGAATAAACAGACTGAATCTTTGTGTCGTGTTCTGAGAATCTGAATGTAGAAGTTTTGACTTGTTACTCTTTTTATCTGAAGATATTTAGTTTATTCAGTGAAATTCCAGTCCCTCATTTTTTTTATCTATCTCTTTATACTGGTTTTCCAAAAATCTGGTTTGATGTCGTCGGTTAAATATTGTCAGTGGTGAGGGTCTTATGAATTTATTTCGAATTTACAAGTGATTGTTAACTTATAAGTAGGTGATTTCTTTATAAAACATATCAGTCATACTCTTGGTTTCATATTGATTTTCTGAAGTATTCTAAACTGGAATAAATCAACTGTTCAGGATTTCAAGTGGTTTTTTCCAGGGATTTGATTGGTTGCATGATTTCATCATGAGCTGACATTGGTTAGAGAACCACTAGAAAACCTGAGCTGTTTCGTTTTAGTTTGGGACTCTTCACAGGACCTTTCGGTTACAAGATCAAGATTTTCTGATCTAAATTGTCACTCTAGCTGGCACTTATCTCTAGTGAGAAATACCAGCTGATCATAGACTGCTTTCTTCAGTGAAGCAATCACCATCAAATGCAGAAAGAGACACTAGTGAACCATACACTACAATTTTTACTACGTCATTTTTTCTTCTATATCTCCCGTTCTGTTTAAAAATAATTATTATTTCTTCTGAACGTCACTCATCTTACTCCTGTTTTAATTTATTTAATTTTGATTATAGCGGGAAACCACACAGTATTTTTGGTACAAGTATGGAATTTTCAGCATATGGTATCGGTAGCCCAAATTTTTTAGTCCTGCCAGGGGATCGAACCCCGGACCATGTGCATGATCGGCGAGAGTCCTAACCGCTGTGCCACCGACGCACACTGTTTTATAAAACCGTTTTTTCCTGTAGTTACGTAACCTATTGTATTGATATAGTCTTTTTAGTTAAAATTTGTTTCTACTCTTTCACTCTCTTTTAGGAGTATTTGTTTAATTATCCTGTCAAATAGTCAATCCTTAACAACTCACATCATTCCACACCTATAAGAAAAAAGTATGTTCAAATGTTTTATATAATTTATATTTTTGTATTGTTCAGGTTATAGCCACTTGAGAAGAATCTACGAAATACTAGAGAATGAATTTCTGCTATCCAGGTACATTTGTCGTTCATACTTTGTTCGAATTGGTGACCTTTTTAATTCAGAGAGAGTGACTTTTTCTTAAAGAATACTACATTAGGCGGCCTGCTTGAATCACTGGCCTACGGAAATTGCTCTCCACCGAAATGCTTTATTTCACCTGGATTTATCATGAACTTGCCCGCTGGTTTAACTTGCTTCCAAGTAAACGCTGTGCAATTCTTCAACGAAATGAAAATATACTTCAGATTATTACTTTACGTGTAAATCCTGTATGAAGAAAAGAGTATTTTGGAACTAAATACACTGAAAATTTTTGTACTATATGTTCGCATATTGTCTGAAATAAAGCTTTTATTATTATTATTTAAATAATCCTTTATCACCATAATACATATATAATGTTAAGTATGATTGACTGTCTAGTGAATATGATTCAGGTATTACAAGAGGCTGGTGATTGAATTAGAAAAAATCGTAATCCAGGACAGGACTTAACACGAATAACCTTTATGATTTGTTACTCATGTCATGTGCGTCGGTGGCACAGTGGTTAGGACTCTCGCCGATCATGCACATGGTCCAGGGTTCGATCCCCTGCCAACGCACACCTGATATCTATGGTCGGCCTGCAAAATTAGGGCTACCGATATCTATGCTGAAAATTCCATACTTGTACTGAAAATATGGTGTGCCATCAAGCTGTAATCAAAATAAAAAATTCAAAAATTCAAAAGTGAAAAAAGACAAGATAGACGAATAACTAATGCGTTTTGTTTTTACCCACTTGAAATTGTCTAATCATTGTAGTAAGCGTTTGACATGATCTATTTCTTTCATCCAATTCATTACGTAATCTTCGTACAACTTCCTCCTTACTATTAGCTACTTCTTGTGCAGCTAAAGGATCACGTTCAATTTTATCAATTTTTTGTTCTAATCTCTGAGCAAATAATACAGCCTTGTAAATCAATTCGTCTAATTTGATTAGATCCTTGTCAGAAAAAGAAAAAAAGAACTCAATTATTTTCTTTTTATATGTGGACAGAACTTAAATATATGTATAAGAATTAGCTTGTAGCTAAACTTTAAACGTTTATATATTCTCATGTGAAGTGTTTTCTAAAACGAAATGTGTTTTACAGTGTAGTATCATTATTTGAAAAATATACTAAAAAGGTTTTAATGAATTACGTCCTTAATCATTTGTTAAATATTTTATTCAAAATGACAGTGTCTCATTTCTTTTTTCTCTGTTGAATAGACAATTTAAACCATTTTTAGGAGAATTTTCTTCGGATGTTGGACACTAGTCAGTAACTAGTGCAATTTGTGTGTCTATTCCTATCTTTGTCTAAAATAGGAATGTTTCTTTTCTGAGATCATCAATTTCTCTTCCGTAAGCGGCTCGTCATTCCACTTTGTTTGCATTTGTTTGCCAGAATTTATGAAAGATTATTTTTATTTATTATTATTGTTCCCTTGGGTTCCAAGTGAAACATAGGGCTTCAACAACAAATCTCCACTTTCTTCTATTTTCTGACATCCTCTTCAGCTTGGTCCACGATCGTCCAAACTCTCTCATCCCTCCCCACACGATCTCCTCCATATTACCCTCACACTGACGACCCACTCGTCGCTTTCCACTTGGATTCCACTCGAGGGATGGCCTGGCACGCTATATCATTCGATGGTTTCCTCAATGTATACTCGATCCATCTCCATTTCCTCCTACATATTTGATGAGCGAAAGGCTCCTGGTTGGTTTGCTGCCAGAGTTTCTTGTAGCTAATTCTTTCTGGCCGGCTGGCCATTTGATCTTCAGGATGGAGCCAGAGAAGGCAGCTGTTGATCAAAATCTGCAGTCGCGTGTTGGAAATGCTTTTTGTGATGCGCAGTGCAGGTTTCTGACCCATATAGAAGAACTGACTGACTTGACATTGGTGTTGGAAATCCGAATCTTCTTCTTCATTATGAGTTAGTGAAGAAGATTTCCGAACTGGTTTCAGGTTGATGAAGGCGTATCTTGCCTTTCCAATTCAGGCTGGCCTTGACATCTTCATCCGTTCCAACTTACTGTGGTTGAAACCATGCTACCTAGATAACTCAAGGAAGTAAACTCTTTCAAACCTCTCCCTTTGATGGCAATTGATGCTGGTTGTTTTTGTTGGTGTTGGTTGGTTATCTTCATCACCTCCGTTTTCTCTATGTTCACCTGGAGTCTTAGCCGTCTGCCTCTTCTGACAGTTTGTTTGTTTTTCGCCTGCGAATCTTCAAGTCTGTGTGACAATAAACATAAATCATCCACAGGCGAAATGCAGATCTTCTAGAGTCTTCTTATCGGTCATCCAACGTATTGCTGTCTTCTCATTTCCTGTGGACGGTCTGATGCATAATTCAGTCCATCATAATTCAGAATATCATCCGTGGTGATAATAGGCAGCCTTGTCGTACTCCTGTATTCACTTCGAACGCCTCGCTGAGTTTTACGTTGTGGATCGCCTGACTGACACGTGGCATTGTCATATAGCCAGCTGTTAATGAGGTTGATAAGGACTTGAGTACTGCATGCCGTAGTGTTGAAATAGTTTCCAAATTACGTCTCGGTCAACGCTGTCTGGTGAAGGCCTTTGCGAAGTCGATGAAGTTGAGGGAGAGGTTTGACTGCCATTCTATGCTATGTTCTCTGATGATGATGCGTAATGTAATAATGTAATGTAATTTGATCAGCACATGCTTTGCCTTTCTAGAATCTAGCTTGTTCTGGTCGGTGAGGCGGAGTTCTGCATCCAGTGCATCCTTTATTCTCTCCAGGATGATGCGACTTAGTATTTTACAAGAGCATTATTCCACGCCACTTCTTGCACAGGCCTAAGTCGCCCCTCTTTGGTAGCTTGACAAGGTAGCCAACCTTTCTTCCAATTGGTAGGCACCTCTCCTTCCTTCCAAACCTTTGGCAATAATGGAGTGAGCACATCTGCGACAGTCTCTGGATCCGTTTTCAGTGCTTCAGGGGGATTCCGTCTGGTCCTGCTGCCTTCCCAGCTGGACTACAGTAGCTTGATCTCATTTATTATTTCTGATTTCGTTGGAGGGTTGGTGTCCACTAGTAGGCACTTTGTGTGCCTGCTGCTGATGGTGGTGATTTCTGGACGAGTTGCAGGTGATGGTTGATTCAAGAGTCTTTAAAGTAATCAGCCCTTTGTCTCAGTTGTTTCTTCTCCTTGGTAATTAGGTTCTCTTCAGCATCTTTTATTGGTTTCATTATCTGGGTTGATCTCTTCCCGGATAGCGAGCGAGCTGGTTATCTGATATAATGTCCTGAGGTCTCTTTCACCTGCGGCCTGCCTGTTCTGCATCAGTTGTCAGCCGTTGTGTCGTAGAATTGTCTTTTGCCTTTCCTAGCACTCTCCTTCACTTCTTTATTCATTGCAATGTACATTAAACTCAGCTTCTCCTTCTGTTGCCCATCTTTGCATTGAGTCATCTTCTCCTTCACCACCCTCCTCTCCTCCTATTAGCTTCCAGGTAGGTGTCCGTTGAGAGCTATTCCTTGTCGTGTCTCTTCTTTCTTCCTAGAACATTTGTACACGTTTCCTTGAACATCACTTCCAGACAGTCCCATTGTTCTTCAACGCAGGTTTCCTCAGCAATATCACATAGTGTCTCTGACTTTGCTCTGATCTGATCTGTAGTGAAGGTATCCCTTGTAGTTTTTTCTTCAGTTTCTGAATGTTGAACTTGAGTTTTGGTCTGTTTCCAGTTATTCTGAAGGATTTCGGCTATACCTTGAGTGTTCCTTGAATTAGATGATGGTCTGAGCCCACATCTGCTCCCCTTCTCGACTTTGTGTCCAGCAGGATACTTCTTCACTTCCTTGAGCAGCATAGAGATGAAGTCTATCTGTTTTGTGGTGTGTCCGTCAGATGAAATCCATGTCGCCTTATGTCTATCCTTGTATTTGTACACGCTGCTTCCAGTCACCAAATCACTGAAAGCGCAGAAGTCTGTGAAGAGTTCTCCATTACCATTCATCTCACCAAGAGTCTGTCGATCCATGATGAGTTCTCTTCCTGTATTACCAGCTTCCAGTTATCTAGAATTCATATCTCCCATGAGGATTTTGATATCGCCATTTGGGATGTTACCCACTACTCTTTGCAGTTGTCTATAAAAACCCTCCTTCTTCTCTTGTTCTGAGTTGTTTGTAGCACTGTGCGTAGCATCGGATAATTGTGACCTTCCTCCCTTCCTTTTGAGTTGAATCTTGCTGTTATAATCCTGCAAGAGGAGATTGGTTCCCAATGCATTAGGGCTTTGGCTGCCACTGGTGACATCATGATAACTACTCACTCCCTCAGTGTGCTTTTGGTTGTCGTCTGGTTGACCAGACTGGAGTAGATTACTGACTCACCAGTTGGCAGTTTTGATAGTCCACACCCATTCTATCTGCACTCGCAGATACCCAGCACTCCTATCCCATATCTTCGCATTTCTTTGGCTAACTGGACAGCCTTCCCAGCCTCGTGCATTTTACGGAGATGCCACGTCCCAATTATCATTTTTCCTTTTATCGAAAGAAGACACATTGGCTGGCTGACTGGCTTCCCGAAGGCTTCCACAAGTCCACATCATTTCGCCTCCCTGATTCCAGATAAAAATAAGATTGTTTTTTAAAATATTTTTTTTTGTATTTTTAATATTTTTATTTTGCGCTAAAGCTTCTGTAGCAGTTTGACTGGTTCTGTGGTGTAGGATCGCTAGCCCCACGCCCAACCCTTCTTCTTTACCCGGACTTGGAACCGGCTAGAAAACTAGCAAACAAGTTAACTCGGCGAGTTTATGAAAAGAGATATATCCTATTAATGATTACTAGAGGAACGAAGTCGATTTCTCTAGAAATGAAGTTCAACCGAATAAGTATGTTATGCAGTCCCATCAATAATTTGAAATGAATATAACATGCTCTTGAATTCCCTTTTCTGTCAACAGAACTACTGTAAAGTAAAAGAAGTACATTACTTCATGAAATTATCGTCAACAAGTCAACGTAAATATTTTTTATGATTATCACCAGTAATTTAATAGAAACCTCTATTTTATCATATCTATTATTACTACTTATAAGTAGCTGAGGTTTTTAGAATAAATTATTATAAAGGGTGTTATTTTTTTAATTTTCATTCCCAGCTTTCCGAGTGGAAGATAGAGCTTTAGTCCTTAAAGTTTCAGTTGTGGTAGTGTAGTTTTCACGGTGTGGGGTTGTTAGCCTCACATCCAATCCTGCCGTTTTTCCGGGCTTACTATCGGCTGGTAAACTAGCTGAGGGGTATCAGTGTATCAGCCGAGAATGTAATGCTGTCGAATTATTTATCTTCTAGTTAACATATAATGCAAATAAATTCTTGCCAAGTAGCTGTGTCAGTAGACTGACAGTACTTAATCAATAAGACGACATGTTGTTTTGTTAAAAGTATCAATATACAACTTACAGTTTCACGTTCACGTGTTTTCTTACCAAGTCCACGTAAAGTATTTCTTGCTCCAGATACATGTGATTCTAGAATGATGCCTTCATTTTTGATGGCATGCAGTTCCTAGTATTTAAAATTAATTATAAATACTGAAAAGGAATAAAAGGCTATCCAATTATTGCTATGCATACTAAGACCTTACCCTAGATACCCTATTATCTTTTCACCCATTTTACTCACTTTTATACCAATTTTATATGAAATTATTAAGAAATATCTGTAACCATTCATAAGTGAAAACATAATAAAAGGATAAATTCATGGGTCGTTGGTGGTATGGAAAAACACTAAGTCATTACAGAAAACCTAATGTTAGGTAGAAAAGTCAAAAGTTAGTAAATATTATTACTTCCACAGTGAGTGTGTGTTGCAAGCTTCCTACTGAGATAACATTCATGCTATGCACACCGATTTGAAAGGAGGACATACGAAATATTCATATCGTTTCAAAAATGAATTTGACATGTGAAGTATAGATTAATTCTCCATTTTAGCACTTAGAAGGAATATTTCAAAACAATTTGCTCTTTTTATTCCTGAAATGAGACGCATACACATATCCATCATATTACTTAGTTGAGTATTTTTGAAGTGGTATGAGCAATTTATTTATTTCAGTTTTAGATTTCCCCGCGACTGATTGAACTGAAGTGCTCGGTCTCAGGTTGGCATGTCGACTTCCTGTGCAGATGCTTCGACGATGTCTTGGCATGTAATTGGAAGTTAATTAGTGGATGGTGACTAGCAGTGGAATCCAGGATGCGCATTTCTTCCTATTCAGGACTCGTCAGCTGGATATATCTGCATTCCTCAGTGAGTGATGATATCTCATGGCCCAAATGGTCTAGTGGATAACTTTTTGGTGTCTGAAACTATGGGCGCTTGGTTTGAGCCTCGGTGGGAACATCATCACTCACTGCGGAATGCAGTTACATCCAGATGACGAGTCCTAAATAGGACAGAATGCGCACCCTGTATTCCACTGCTAGTCACCATCCACCAATTAACTTCTAATGGTATGCGGAATGTTTGCAAAGATTTACAAAGTAGTTGTAGAGGCTACAAAATTTTATCAGTATACATCTCCATAGCAAAAAAAGGAGATAATCCTCTCTTTAACGAAATAAGTCACCTGATATACGCATGTTATCTTGGTAAATATATTTCCGCTATAAGAAAACAAAATGATAAGTTTTCATAAACAGTCATTGCTCCCGTGATCACTTGTTTATTCTAAAATTTTTGTAATCATTTTGTTTTAGGAACTATTTTGTTTCACGAGGTAATTGCTGATTAAGTAATACACGTGACAGATAAAACAGTAACAAATTATAGAGTACAAGTAATCTTACTAAAGTTTTAGTATTAATTAAACGCTAAGAAGAAAATAACTCTTAAGCACTAAATCACATTTTTGTAACATTTGGATCAAGGTGTTGAAAGCTACCATGACAACTGAGCATTTCGACCTTTGAGATATGAATTAGTAGTGCACACTGAAATCAACTCTGTGAATGAGCTTAGTGTTAATTGTTTTGCCTAGAAAATCTGTTCATATATCAGAATACTCAAAAAATTCATTTCAGTGAGATGAATCTGAAGGAAGTCACCGCCTTCATTGATCTAGGTAGTGTCACCTCAACTACTAGAGGCGAAAGAAATGAGGATGTTAAAGCCTGCAAAGATCAGAAAAGCAAAATAAACTTTCATTACTCTGAAATCAGTGTGGCAATCTACTGCATTCAGCATAAGGAAAAAGATCCAGACTTCCAGCAATAATGTGAAACCAATGCTTCTGTACAGTTCAGATGATTGGCGCAATTATGAACAACATTTCCAACAGGTTGCTGACTTGCATCGATACTGAATATCAGATGGCATGTTGGAAAAGATAAGCTAACCAACCAACAATCTATTATGGAACAAATATGCAGAAGCATATGGAGATAGATTGAACATACCCTGAAGAGACCTGTGACTGATATCACGAATTCGAATTGGAAACGACGAGTCAGGCGTTGATAATTTGATAAAATAACACAGTCTTTTTTTATTCCTTTACATTCCCAGTGTAACATATGACTTCAAGCTAGAGCTTTGAAGTTTCGGTAGCAGTTGTGTTTAGTTTTACGGGATGGGTTCGCTAGTCTTATACCCAAACTTCCCTCTTTCCTAGTCTTATTACTAGCTGAGGAAGTTGAAGGAATGCATCATCCGGGGATCAAACCCCGAACTATATGCGTGGTTGGCGAGCATTCTACCGCTGTGCCACCGATGCACCGAAATCACACAGTGTTATACAGTATTATTTAATGATGACCTTTCGAACACAATTTATTGCTCATAATCATATCAAGGTACTCACATAACTTTCTTGCTTGATCAGTAAATATTACTGCATAACACTGTGATTTAATCAAAATACAATTTTATCCATAATGGAGTTATACTGTACTACAGTGCTAAAGTTTTATCCTTATATTGAATATTTCCTTCTTGCTTACTCCATTTTGTTATTTCAGCTGATTTATATATATAAAGGTAGGTATAAAGTATCTTCCTGTGCGTTGGTGGCACAGCGATTAGGACGCTCACCGACCATGCACATAGGCCGGGGTTCGATCCCTGGCCGACGCACTCTTTTACCTCGCTAAGCCAGTAATAAAGCTGGCAAAGAGGAAAGGTTGGGCATGCTGCTAGCAACCCCATCCCGTAAAAATAAACACCACTGCTACAGAAACTTCAAGCGTCTAGCTTGAAGCCCTATGTTCCACTGGGAACGTGAAGGAATAAAAAAATATAGTATCTTCGTAAATAAAATAATAAACTAAACATCTTACCTCATTTGTTTTAAACATCAAAACTTTCAGTTTTTCATGATAATTCAATGCTTCTTTCTTACACTTTTCTTGATTTTGTAAATTTTCATCAGCTATCTTAGCTAAACGTTCAGCTGTAATACGTTTATCAGTGATTTCATTTAAACGACTTTCTGAATATTTAATATCATCCAATAGTTTCTGAAGACTGAACAAACGTTTAAATAGAAAATCAATGTTTAAGGTTTTACAATAAGTAAATTATAGAATAAAAGATGTTTATTCTTTTGGGGGTGTAAACTGTATTACTTTCAGCTGAATATGGATTGTTAATAAAATATGAATATCACTCTTAATAATTAGCATAACTGAGGATTTAAACCGTCTACAGTTCATCTTTGAATGTTAAGAAAGCTTTTGGTATTGTTATGTTCCCTGATCTGGATGGTTTAATTACGATTCTCCCATTATTCTTCTGAACTTCTTCAGCTGCAACATCAAAGTGTAAAAGTGAATTAAAGTAGGTAAATGGTAAAACGACTGCGTATGAAAGTCGACTGCTAATTTTAGAACTAGAGTTATAACCAGCTGTGTAAATTATTGATAAGTATGATAAGTATAAGAATAAAGCACAGATGTCTTTTTCATTTCTTTCCATTCCTAGTGGAAGATAGAGCTCCAGGTTATTGGAACTTTGAAATATCAGAAGTGGTGGTGTTGATTTTAGCTTCATACCTAACCTCCCCTCTTTTCTAGGCTTACTACTGGCTAGGAGAGGTTTAAGACTGTATCGGCGGGAATCGAACCCAGACGTTTTGTTTGGTTCGCGTGTATTGTACCACTGAATCATAGACGCACTAAAGTGAAGTTGAACTGCAGTAAATGTTATCTAGTTGTTATGACTGTTAAGAAAGAAACGGTCAGAAGACAAAGAGGAGAGAATACAAAAATAATCGTGTTTTCTCACCAAGGCAACTGAAGATTAACGTTAATGTCTTTTTGAACACAAAGATCAATTTTAACTTGTCAGTTGAAATTCCTTCCGGAGAAAAACATAAGTATTATTTAAAATATCTCCTCTTTACAATAATCTTAGCAAAGAGAACAAATGAAAGTTATCTGATTGTGTAGTTGGTCACAATCTCCGTAACTCGAGTCATTTTTAAAATATCTATTAGTTTGTACACTTTTAGATTATTAAATCTAAGGAATGAAACATTTGAAGCTTTGGTTTATGCTTTAAGGCATAGCATTGAAGTTTCGGTAGCAGTGGTGTTTATCTTTCACGGCCAGCTAGCCTCATATTCAACCTTCCTTTTTTATCAGTTTTACTCCTGAATTAACGAGGCAAAGGAATGCGTCGTCCGGGGATCAAGCCTCGAACCACATGTGTGGTTGGTGAGCATTCTACCACTGTGCCACCAACGGACATTTATTCTATGAAGCAGCTGAATTCAGTGGATTTCATTTAGCCACAAATCAATGTCTTACAAATTAGCTTCTGAGCTGAAACACTGGATAAGAAATGATTTCTGCCTCTTGAAAACCACATTTCTTATATGCCTTCCTGATGGTTAAGTAGTTATGTGAAAGAGCAAACATAATACAAGCTTTCTAGACATTATAGTATCTTCTAAGAGTTTCAACCGTTTTAAGAATATTTTAAATGATATCTCAATTATACAGTAGGTTACTGTGAAAGATTTGGAAATATTCACTTGAACTTATAAAAGTTTGGTCTAGAATTAAACGATTATTTAGTACTAATTAGTGAAACAGACAGAATCGTTAACCGAAGTAACAGAATTTTATAAATAGAAAGTGTAGTTTGCCGTAATATAAGATATACTAGTTCTGTCTTCAAACCAATATGCATTGATTTCTGACTAAACTTTCTTAAAGTAACATGTCTGTTCAGAAGAAAACAGTCAGTAACCTTTCCATAACGTGTCGATGATTGCATACTATTCTAATTTTGTTTAATTCTGTTTTGTCTTTTGGTTCCTACAAACTCTTCATCTTATTGTCATATTTTTATTCACGTTAGACTGTGAGTTTAGTTACTTTGAGAGCACTGTACCTGGTACTTGATACAGTGAGAGTTTCAGTCTTTACTTATCATCCAGTTACCTGTTCCTGATTTCTGTCTTAATCTAAAGTTAATGTTGATTTTAGATGATTGGAATAAGTTAACAGAAAATCCTGGATTTAGGCTTTGGACTGGTTGATTCTCGCCAGCGAAACATTTCTACAACCTAGAAAGGAATAATATTCCCTCGAAATTAAGATTTCCTACCAATGACCTCCAGTCATTCAAAATCATTTTAAAGTGTATGTGGAGATGGTGAGTTTTCTGGTTTGTTGGTTACACCGCAAACTAGATTATGGGATTGGGGTCAGTAATAATAATTTTTCATCATATCGATTAAGAAATAAACATTTTTTACTCATAATTTAGATAGTTAAATTGTTTGTGCTTGTGTGTAGTTGGCGAAAAGTTTTATAATAATTAACTGAATTCAGACTATTCTGTCACATTCCAGTTAGGTATTGTCACACAAATACTTTAAAGACATGGTACCACATAAAACTAAACTTCACTGTTTCATTCTTGTGTGCAATATGCCAAATATATGATGTAGTACAAATACCTCCAGTGAATTGAACAAACAAATATTTTCAAGTATTGGTTTGTAAGGATTTGATTGACTGGTTACAGGATTTAATAATGAGTTGACCTCGGTTAGAGAACCATTGGACAGCTGGTTCATCCTAGTTTGGGAGTCTTCAGTAGTACCCACCAATCAAAAGGGTTCGAACCTAGGACTTTCTGGTTACAAGGCGAGTTCACAGAACCATTCAGACACTGGGACCCGATCCAGTTACCCTGGGGTTCTAGTGAGAAGTCATGGCCAGGAGGGTGCAGTAGGTCGGGTGTAAGGAAGAATACTTACCGATGACATTTGATAGTGGCCACACTACATAGTGAATTGGCAGAAGTTGGAATTCATGGGCCATTGGATCGGGTCCCAGTGGCTGAATGGTCTGTGAGCTCGCCTTGTAACTGGAATGTCCTGGGTCTGAACCCCGCTGGTGGGTGCATCCTGGTGAAGAGCCCTAAACTAGGACGAGACAGCTGTCCAGTACTCCCTGGTGGTTTTCCAGTAGTTCTTCAACCGATGTCAGCTCAGGATGAGATCCTCTAACCAAACAAATATTTTCATAGTTTACACTTAAAATACATATTTAACCAAGTTCAATTTCACGACAGTAGGAAAATATTACCGTTTGTTGTTTTCTTCAGTTGATACTTTTAATTGTTTAGTTTCAGCTAACTTTGTACGATAATCTCGTTCAGTTCTTTCAAGCGTTTTTTGTAGAGTTTCAAGCTTCAATGTTTAAACAACAAGAATTATTTAGATTAGATTTAAATAAGATAATATTTCAATAATTTGTAAATAAAAGTGAATTATATTTCATGTTAGAGTTTAGGCTTGTAGAAGACACTAGACTTTTGTAACTTTTTTACTACCAGTAAAGTGTTTCACCAATCATTAAACTACTGAGCATTTTAGTATTCGAACTTGCATTTCAGAGATAAAGGTAAAGATGGAGCCAATAAAAATATTCACACCTGAATAGATGTGTATACTTAGTGATCTATATATGTGAAGAAGGAATGAACTACCACGATGTAACTACTATCACTAAACCGGAAACTTTGCATCATGGTTTGAACCGTTCATATTGCTGTCTATATTGCATATTTCATGGATAGATCTCAACTGATTGGTGCTATGGTGCACTTTTTTTATTCCTTTATGTTCCTAGGGGAACATATGACTCCAAGCTACAGCTTTGAAGTTTCTGTAGCAGTGGTGTTTATTTTTATGAATGGGGTTGCTAGTCTCATGCCCAACCTTCCCTCTTTGCCAGTCTTACTACTGGCTTGGTGAGCTAAAACGAGTGTGTCGGCCGGGGATCGGATCCCGGACCACATGCGTAGTTGGCGACCACTTTACTACTGTGACACCGATGCATTAAAAAATATGGAACGCTTCATGGTTTTGCGTGTCATCTTTGCGCAGGGGCCATGCTAATCTTCTCTGTATAGTTCCAATTTTAGTGTATGTCCGCCGAAGCGAGTACAAGACGGTGCACTAGAAGAGTAATAATAGGACTTATTTTAATGATATATTTTTGTCATTTATGACAACACATATATCGTGAATGCAGAAACAGAAATAACAGTGTAGAGTGAACACTTTTCACATTTATACTGGTGATATTCCGTTTTACTGATATTTTTCAATTAGACGGTATAGTTATTTCAATCAACTACATACTAATTTTAAGGGTTGGTTGTTTTATGAGTCATTTTGACAACACTGTATTATTTTCTTGATATATTACTGGCTTTTTAAATAGTTTTATCCTTTCCTTACCCCTTATACACATTCATAAGCAACTTGAAAATCCTCATTGAGTAATATAGAAGAAAAGGAATTCAGCGAAGAGTTACTCTTTTAGGCGATATCATTCTCAAGCTGTACAATCGCATTTATGTAGTAGATTGTCTTAGCAACAAAAGAAATATTACCGAAGATGTGTCATTTGGATTGTAAATTTTAGATAAAAAATTAAGTAATTTAGAGATGCTCACTAGCGACTTGCTCTATTCAGGCACGTAGTTAGTTACCTGGGGTTCTAGTGAGAAGTCGTGACCAGTAGGGTGCAGCACTTCGAGTGTGAGGACAAATACTCGCCACCAAAGACATTGGCTAGTGGTCGTGCTATGTCGTGAATTGGCAGAAGTTAGCATTCATGGGCCATTGGATAGGGTCCCAATAACTTAATGGTCTGCGAGCTCGCCTTGTAACTAGAAGGTCCTGGTTTCGAACCCCGGTGGGTGCGTTCTACTGAAGAGTCCCAAACTAGGACGAAACAGCTGTCTAGTACTCCCAGGTTTCTCAGTGGTTCTCTAACCAATGTCAGCTCATAATGAAATCCTGTAACTAATTTAGGAAGCGTTAGTCGGGTATAAAGCAAATTAAAATTAAATAAGTAGGTCGAGTGACGTAATATAATTGACGGGGTTGAGTAGAATTCAACTAAAATTTGACCGATAGTCAAGTTAACAACAGTGGTAATGAGGGGTAGAGATTTAATAGGGGGTGAGGGAAGAAAATAATACAGCTAAGAAACAAA